AAACCACTTTTTTATAAGAAAAAAATTGCCCACATGAAAAAAAAAAAAAAAAAAAAAAAAAAACCTCAAAATATAATTGCTTCCCCGTACTCATTCCCCACGTTAGGGAGGCAGCGTCTCCCTATTTCCACCCCTAGGGGACGCAATTATACATCATATTAAAGGAGCAAAGAGAAGCCCAGAGGCCTAACAACCATATTACAGTTTTTACAATAACAAAATGATATAAATTTACAAGAAGAAAACACGTATGTACAGACGGTGACAGTGTCGGTGTGGCAGCAATCATTTCCTCTCCATTTCAAATGTAAACAGAAGAAAGAAAATGTCCCGTTTTATTACCATCATCAGAGGCTGGAGCTCCTGCAGGCGCTGTAGATATCTGCAGGTCACACTAAAGACATCCAGCACAAGAACCTGTCACGATAAGACACGAAAAAGCTTAAAGGAGGTGTTCAATGTTTTTGCTTTCTCTTGTTGAACAAATAAAACAGAGGAGCTTCTGCTATCTATGGTTTTATGGTTAAAAAAACAACAACAATGATTTAAAACTTTAAAAGTGCATGTGATGTGTTGTTCATATTCAGAGTAAGACGTTTAAAGTTCAGTTAAGACTTAGCAAATAAAACAGGTTTGCAACATGTGTGATGGTGTAAATAGAACCACAGTTCAAATGAATTCCTTCAATGGAAAAATAAAGGGTCTCTGCACATAATGTCAAATTGGGGGTTCTGTTAGGCATGCACTAGAGTGTAAACAAGATCATCATCTGCGTCTTCAGACACCAAAGTAATTCATCTTTGAAGCTTTTCTCAAAAAGACCAAATATCCAAGCCACAAATAGTAAAAAAAAGTTGACAAAACAGTAGGACATCTATATATCAAAGGTGAAATCAGTCTTCTTCTCTCAGGCTGAGAAAGTCAGCTGCTCTTATTTGACTGAGAAGGGATATAAATAGTGCAATATAAACTAGGCTTTTGGGGTGAGCCAAAATTTGGCCATGTGTTGCATTCAGGGTCAGGTGTTAAGTGCATTAGCTAAAAGTAATTATAGTAAAGATGTTGGGTTTAAAGTAAAATCTTGAAATGTTTATCAGGGTAAACAGAGGTGAATCTGAACGACATACTCTACATGTCTCGCCTTTTTAACATAGTTCTCACAAGCAGCTGTTAAACTGATAATTATTAAGTTATGGCCACTGTACTGTGAGGGGCGGGGGGGCTTTTTAAATAGCAGAAGTTAGATTCTTTCTTTTAATTTTCCATTGTCTTAAAGAAAAAGAAAACATTGAGGACAAAGTTACATTTATTCAAAGATTCTTTGCCTCAAATATTTCTGACTCTTTTTAATACGTTTACATTATGAAAACAATTCAAAATACATAATGGCTCTGCTTAAAATGGGGCATTCACCTGTGCTTGATAAAAGCAGTTAAACAGCTGAATTCACTTTAGTTTACAGTCATTAATTATCAAATAAAAAAATCCTTTGAAGAGATAATATAGGTTCTGGTTCCAGTTATTCTGTGGTCAAAAACAGGGTGCATGAATGTTGGCTTTGCTCTATGTTTTACATGAAATTTCCTGATATCTAATAGCTCATTGAATACAGGGTGGAAAAAAAATCTTGGTTTAATTTTTTTAAAACTTGTACAAGACATGGCTAAAATCCCAGATTCTGGTCCACAATTACGTTTTACTATTTTTCCAAAGGCTCAACTGTGTCTTAAAGAAAAGCTATGATTTTATGCGTTATGCTCCTAAAATAATTATTACAAATTAATGTTAATAATTTGGGAACAAAATGTAGAGCAGGTGAAGATTTTCTGATTAGATCAAATGAACATAAACCATGCACTCCATTTTGAACTCCAACAGTCTGACATTTAAAGTTGCCTGACAACACTCTTTTCATTTAATGTGCATCAATTATGGGTCTCGGTGAAACTAGAAGCTACCACTCCTCTCAAAACGGGTAAAAAAACAACAGTGCCGTTTGTTATACAACTGTCTCTCTCAGATTTGCCTGCTGGGCTAAAATATGTGGGTTGGGAGCTGAATGTAATAAGATCTCATTAGTAACTTCTACAGGTACAATCACTGTGTTTGGCTCGGGGGACTCTGTGGGGCCACTAGGGACCCCTGAGTTGTGTAGCAGTGTCTCAGGTTTTGGAGGCTCCTGATTCACTAAAGCATCTAGAGCAGCCTGCTCCATCTGCTCTGCCAGGTCCACATTGCTTCCGTACAGAACTCCCATCTTTCGCGCAAGCAGCCCCTCCTTTTCGGGTGGCTCCTCGTCTTCATCCTTTTTACCCATCCTCTTGGAGTGATACATGAAGGCAGCATGATGTATGCAACGCTTGAGAAGGTGGTGGCGGTAAGCCCTCTGAATGACCACAGCAGCTCTCTCCTCCTCTTTGTGGCGTACTGTTGAAGTAATTGGTGCGAAGGAGTCTGAGGTAGGGTTACTCAAGATGAACTTAGCCTTGATACTCTCCCTCATTGCTGCCATTTCCACTGTGTCTCCCAGGACCATCTGTGTGACGGCCAACAACACGTCGAGGCAGTGGATCCTGTCCCCAATGACCAGGGGAAGATCCATTTCAATCAGGCGGAGACGGTTGGGCTTGGCTACTTTCAGTGGCTCCTGTAGGGCATCACAGAAATCTGAGAGTTTGTTATACTCAATGAACATAGTTCCATCGATGTCAAACTTTTCCCAAGTCTCATTGAACATCTCAAAATCCTCCTCACACAGTGCGTCCCCACTCTCCTCCTGTGCCACATTGAAGTTCTCCAAGATGATAGCGATGTACATGTTCACAACCACCAGGAATGAGATGATGATGTAGCTGCAGAAGAACATCATGCCCATACCTGGGCTGCCACAGTTACCCTTTACATCAGTGCCTGGGTTCTCAAACTCTGGATCACAGTCCGGAGGGTTACTGTTCAGCATTGGGAGCAAAAGGCCGTCCCAGCCTGCAGACGTGGTAATCTGAAACAGGCAGATGATGCTGCTGCCAAATGTTTCAAAGTTGAATATGTCGTCAATTCCTGCTTCCTTCTTGACATAGGCAAAGTTTGACATGCCAAATATGGAAAAGATAAACATGATGAGAAAGAGCAGCAGGCCGATGTTGAAAAGAGCAGGAAGTGACATCATCAGAGCAAAGAGAAGTGTCCGTATGCCCTTGGCTCCTTTAATGAGACGCAAAATCCTGCCTATTCTGGCCAGTCTGATCACTCTGAAGAGAGTCGGTGACACAAAGTACTTTTCAATGAGGTCTGAGAGCATCGTACCTGCAAATCAAACACAGGCAGTATCTTTAGACACAGTATAATGTATCAATCTCTATGTTGGCCTAGGCATTCGTTATACTGTCGTATTCAGGTTGCAGGGCACTTGTAATGATATTTAGGTATGTTAGAAGACAGGTTAAAAAATATGCCCAATTGAAGAAGAAGATTGGGCCTCACAGTGGAGGGAGGGACTTTGGCAGGTACCAATCCCACTTCGGTGACCACAGCCACTCAAGCAGTAATGGTACCTGTTATGCTCTGTGGTCTCAAACAACACCTTTACTGGAGTGTATGAGTTAAAAACAACTGTCCCTCCTTTTATATCTGCACAAGATACTCACCGGCAATTGACAAGATGACCACAACAAAATCGAAAATATTCCACCCGTTGGTGAAGAAATACTGTCTCAGGGCAAAAAGCTTTAGCACACACTCTCCAGTGAAGACAATAATGAAAGCCACGTTCACTTTGAAGAGGAAATCCTCCTTCTCTGGACTCTGGTTGTCCGTTTCCACCATCATGGTCACCATGTTGAGGCAGATGAGCACCATGATGAAGATGTCAAAGAACCGCTGACTGATGAAATCAAACACCACACCCTGGATTAGATTCTGCAGGTCAAATGAAAAGCAGGGTGAGGCCATTAGAGCCGTTCAGCCTGTTCATTCACATTCACATTCTGTGTGCAGAAAAGGTCAGCACAGAGGTCATGGAGGACATCATCATGCCTGACGTGCCTGACTGTTGTGCCATTACTTTGGCTGAATGTTAAATAGTGGTTCTATCCAATACAATTACACAGATATTGTACAAGAAAGCACTGGCATCATAATGCATTCATTCATGAGGGACGTACTGTTGGACGTGGAATTGGCTTCTGTGGCTTCTTGGAACCAAGTTTCTTCATGGCCTCGTAGTATTTCTTCTGTTCTTCTGTCATGAAAATGTCTTTATCTCCTAAGTGCAGATGTAAAAGATGACAAAATTAATTGAGGCATGACCTTTGAGGGCCTAAACTACTCACAGAGAAACACTGCTTTTGTATTAGAACAAAAAAGTCGGCTACTCATCTTTTTCTTTTGTTGGTTAAAGTTGTCAATAATGACACCAATGAAGAGGTTAAGGGTGAAGAAGGAGCCAAAGATGATGAAGATGACGAAGTACATATACATGTAGAGGTTGATTTCATAAGACGGTTGTTCCTCTACCTAAAAGACACAAAACAGTTGGTTTGTTGTTGTTGTTATTTGAAATGATTGTGTGTCATTCATCAGTTGAAGTGAGGTTGTCATTAAGTTTAATGGTGAAACATGAGTAAGTTAATAAGAATAAAAGTCATGTGAAGCTTTAGAGTAGGCAGCAAAACAAATACACACCATGAAATACATGTTTGCAATTGTGTCCTCAAAACTAATACCCTGAAAACAGTACCTCTCTGGAGTCAACAGCCGCGTACATAATATCCATCCAACCTTTAAAAGTCGCCTGTGAAATGTAAAGGAAATGACTTCAAAATTCTGAACCACACAGCAACTACTTTTCCTTAAACACCACCACCACTCACCACTTGGAGCAGGGACAGGTAGCCCTTTCCCACATTGTCATAGTTGACCTTGACATTGACCCAACGTGCATCCTCTGTGACCATGCACTCGCTTCTGTTGTTGACTACATCCATGTGGAAATATTCCCCCGAGGTGGTGTTGACGCAATAGTAGAATTTTCCCGCAAACAGGTTCACACCCATGATGCTGAAGATGAGCCAGAAGATCAAACACACCAGCAGCACATTAAAGATGGAGGGAATGGCCCCGACAAGGGCATTTACCACCACCTGCCCATCACAGAGGACACAGTTTGGGTCAGAATCACTGTACAGAAATAGTTGATTATTATTGCAATGAGTAACAAATCTATCCCCAACCTATTTTTTGTAGGTTTTTTTAATGTTGCCATTCAATGCTAAGTTGAAGTGGTTCAGTCTACCTCAGCAAACATTTATAAATGATTCCAAAAAACATACCCTCATCCCTTCAAATCTGGACAATGCTCGCAGCGGTCTCAGCGCCCTGAGGGTCCTTAGGGATTTGATTGGTCCAAGCTCAGAGTAGCCCATCCAGTTGGCCACTAAACTAATCAGGGAAATCTGGGGAAGAATTATTACATTTCCTTTTCAGGTGTTTCCATTGATGAAAACCCTGTTTGTTCACGTATTCTGTTTCACACAAGACAGTCAGACTTACGTCTACGATGAAAAAGTCCAGCCAGCACCAGGCATTGGTGAAGTAGGTCTTGAAACCATAAGCCACCCATTTAAGAAGCATTTCAATGACAAACACGTAGGTGAAAACTTTGTCAGAGTATTCCAGAATAATTTTGATAGTTCTGCGCTTTTCTATGTAAACGTCCTCAAAGGCCTGCCAAAAGACAACATTTGAACATTAAGACACATGCGCTGAAAGTATTAAAAATAGAGATATTAAAATATCTGATGTACTAACAGACAGGTGTACGACACTCACCAGAGCTCCACTGCTGAGCAGAATCATAAAAATGATGAAGGTTTCAAACCAGTCATGCTCCACAATAGTGAAGCAGGTCCTGCGGAGGTTCCACCATTTCTTGCCTCTTCCTTGGGTGATGTCTACCGTCAGGCAAGGCCAGCGTCTTATGCACTCTGAGGAAAAGGCAAAAATCCTGGATTCGCAACTTCAGCTACACACTTTACATAAACCAAAATAGGTGTTGGCAAAAAGACACATCCCCGTATGCAGTTTAATTGTTTTTACCATCTGTAAAGCAGGCTTCTGGCTCCACGGGTTCTGGTTCTTCTTCTACCTCCTCTTCTGGTTCAGGCTCAGGTGGTTGATAATCCACTGTGCTGCACACAGAAGAGTCCCCGTCTGTCAAAGCCCCCATCTGGTCAGGAATTGCAATTAGTAGGGTGACAAACCAACTGGGACATATTCTGGGAGGGTGCTGATGCGGTAATAACATTATCTGCAGTTTTACTCACTTTGTCCTTCCTTAATAGACAGCCTTCATCATCTGAGTTTTCCTGAGGAGAGATGATTTAACTTCAGTCAAAGTGAATGGGTGTTTTCAGTTTAAAAAACAGCTATGGCTCTCATGTGATGATACACATATAAGTGGTTAGGTAATCATGTTCATTCATACTGTATACTCAGATCAGTTTGACTTATCTGTGACTGTTTTGTTTGGTCATCATGATGTGATTCTTAGGGTTTTATGAGTCTTTCTTACACCTCTGAATTATTCTATTCATCACAACAAAAAAAGAAATGCCACTTTGCTGGCATCAAATCTTTTTGATCATAATTTGTCTGGGATATTTTTAAAGTACCAATTTAAAGAAAATTTAAAAATCTCACTATGCTCTGATGGCTATTTTCTTCATCTGGAAAGTCATTGGCATCTTCTTCATCATCTTCATCATCCTCCTCAAGGTTTTCAAAGTCTGACTCTACTTGGGCAATTGGCACACTGAGATTGAGCTCTCCATCCACAATAAATCCAGAACCCCGGCCTTCCACTAAGCAGTTGGCTATCCTGTCGGGAGCTTTAAAGTCCTGACCCATGTCCAAGTGGTTCATTTCAATCTCCTCCATTTTAGGGTCCCCATCGTCCTCTGGTTCTCCCTCGGGATCTTTGGGTTTTGTGCCAAGAATCCTATGCAGCATTTGTACGGCAAATTCTTTGGACCAGTCAATGCCTCTCGTGATCCTGCCGATGGCGATCTGGAGGTTGTTCATCTCTCCGTCGTCATCTCCCGCTGAGAGGTTATCTCCACTGAACGAGCTCAGCAGCAGGGCCAGGAAGAGGTTCAAAACCTGAAGGAAACAGAAATCCAAAAAACACAAAAAGTGTAAGGGAGTAGTTTATTAAAGCATCTCAACAACATCAGCAGTTGGATGGTGTTTTAATTTTTTTTTTTTTTTGTATTCATTGCATAAAACCCATTAAATCCAAATGTAAATGTTTTTCACTTGAAATTTTAAAGTTGATAGGAATAAAAACAACTTTCAGAAAGATGAAAACATGATAATGCCTGATATTAAAGAATACCTCAACCTGTTTCCCATGTTTTACTCTCTGTCTGCTGGGTTTAGCTGTGTTGACATCACAGGACTGGAGCCTGCTGGCCCTGTGACAGTGTACACTGCCTCCTGTTGCAGAGTAGGCTATGTTCAGTTTCTTAAATGAGTAAGTCAGTTTCTCATTTCCTGTTTTCGAATAGTATCGTAAACTCTTATGAAGTGATATGAAATATAAAGGCAGGATAAGTACGGTGAAAGTTGGATTGGCTCGGGAAATGAGCCGTGTGTCTCGTCAAATCCACTGTGTACTTCAGCATATACTGTAGCGGCAACAACCTGATGTGATTACCTCTTCACCAATTACGGCTCTGGCTAATATCAAATGACGCTTCCTTAACACCCAGACCACTGCTACCTGAGCTGTGCTCGCTCAGCTGTCTGTGTTTGTTCCCCCAGTGGCAGCATGCTTACTTGAGCCGGATCTTAGCACATACTCAAGGTTAAAGCCACTGTTTGATGGTTGGAGTCATTTGATTTAAATAGAATCCTCCCTCTGGCTCCTGAAAAGTGAGTGAGTGTGCGATCAACCTCTGTGTCAGACATTTACAAGAGTAACGGACAGCGAGACAAGAGGAAAGCAATAATAATGTTGGCTTAGCAGACCGACTTTTGTCAGCACTTGACAATGAGCCATTTCTGCGACTACACTTACAGGAAATAGTTTGGGCTCTAGTCGTTAAAAGTGATACCAAAAAAAGATGCGTGAGCACGAGCATCTTCAAAGCCTTGTTCAGTGATGCCAAGATTAAATGTCAGGGACAGTATTAGTGTTTTCCTGCTCCAGACATGAAGGATTCTTTACCAAGCATCACATACCTAACCTAGACATTGAGGGCAAAGGTCAGAGCAGATGAATGTGTTTAACACTTACACACAGTAAGTGTATTACTGTATTATTATATACACATATATATGGTACTGTAGGCAATATGCATAAAAGAAAACATGGAATGTCCCACTGTTCGAATTAGAATAATAATAACTTTTAGATTCATCAAGTACTTCTCTGCTCTTACCACCAGATTTCCAATAACCATGACCATCAAGAAGACCACAAGACACATCCCAGCTCCAGCCACCTCCATGCAGTCCCACATGGTCTCTATCCACTCCCCACATAGGATTCGAAACACGATGAGGAAGGAGTGGAAGAAGTCGTTCATATGCCAGCGTGGTAGCTCACAGTCTTCAGCGATCTTACACACACAGTCCTTGTAGCTCTTGCCAAAAAGCTGCATCCCCACCACAGCGAAGATGAAGACAATGATGGCCAGGACCAAAGTCAGGTTTCCTAGAGCCCCTACCGAGTTACCAATGATCTTGATGAGCATGTTGAGTGTTGGCCAGGATTTGGCTAGCTTGAAGACACGGAGCTATCTCCAACACAGGACATACACAAAGAAGAATAATGTGGAAAGCACACCACTGTGGTAACTGAATAAATGTATTTAAACTGTGGTTCCTACCAAACGGAAAGACCGAAGGACAGAGAGGCCCTGAACGTTTGCCAACCCCAACTCCACTAGACTCAGTGTGACGATGATGCTGTCAAAAATGTTCCAGCCAACTTGAAAGTAATAGTAAGGATCCATGGCAATGAGCTTGAAGACCATCTCTGCTGTGAAGATACTTGTGAACACCTAGAAAAACAATGTTAACAAAATTACACAACCTAAAATCTGAGATGATGATGAAATGTTATCATGCATATAGTAAAGAACTTGAAACACTAAGCATTACACACAACCATGCTTTTGGAGGTTTCTGAATACTATCATCAGAAAATAAAAATTTCCAAGTATTTCTTCTGCTTAGAAAAGCAGTCTGGCAGTTAGATTGTCAACCTTTGATGTCATATTTATTGTTTTAAAATTATTTTTTACCAGACCAAAATGACAGTACAAGTGCTATGCAACAGTTTAGATGGGTTTAGATGATGGGGGATGTCACCTACCCTAAAAACACATAAAAACACATAGTATACAGTTCTCAATCAACAACTGGGCAAAATATGCACAGTTTTATCTCAGGTTTAAGATCAGGATGAAATGCACAGCACTTGTAATGACATTTTGAACAAATGAACAGCTCAAGAGTGTGAGTGGTAGACTCAATGTTCTATTTTTCTTCTGATAATACTCCCCAAACCTCAAAGATCAGACATATTATTTGTTATATATCATTGGTTTGTACTGCACTGCATAATTCATGTTAAATAATTACCAGATTCCCCACTAAAAGCATGTGGTCAAACTCTGGTGTCATAGGGTAGTGCTCCATGGACATGAAGAGGGTGTTGAGCACGATGCAAATAGTAATGGCCAAGTCGACAAAAGGGTCCATCACCACAAAGTACACCCATTTTTTAAAGACCACCCATTGCTTGCAGCAGTTCCATTTCAGGAATATGTTGGCGAATTTGTACCAGACCGGGGGGCACGGCCTCTGGGCATCCTCCAACTCTAGACAATGATGAGAGAGAGGCTGTCAGTATGCTGTCGGTTTTGTCAAAACATATGGGATATCTTGAAGTGATAATGGGGACACAGCTGACAGAATATGAAGCTGTGTGACATTAAAATCCCTGCTGTACAAGTTGAAGGTTGAGCTGAAATAGTCTGAGATTAGCACCAGGAGGGTGTGACATGGAATGTTGACAGGAATTTATCCCACAAACAGCGTTAATAGTGACAACTGTGGCAAGCAGCAGACAATGGTACTGGTCAAAACTTCAAATCAATCAGTATGTATATGATATTATTAGCCTCTTGATAATCTGCGGAATGTCAGCTGTAACTATAGCACAGCTAGTACTTCATGCCAAGCAGACATTTTACACCTTTGTGTATTTACATTCTAGCTCACTGCATATTATAGTGGCCTAAAAAACATTAAGCGCTGTACAAACTTAACGTAGTCATACTGTACCTTCCATGGCAGCTGAACTGCGCTCACTGACAGCACTCCCACGTCTCTGAGCCCCACCTGGTTCATACGGCTGAAGCATATTGTTCACAGAGCCTAGTGGCTTCTCTTTGTCTTCATAATCTACAGCAGACTAGAACAAATAAGTTGACAAACCTTCAGTATGTGCAAAGAAAAGTCACAACCAAAACAATGTTTCCATACAACTGACCCGAACCAGGGTGGGTGCTCTGACTATAAGACGTGGGATGACTCTTCCGTTGCAATCCTTGATAGTGCCATCAGGTTCAAGACTCTGTACGGCATCTTCCAAGTCAGACAAACTCTGATGAGTGAGTGACTTCTTACTGCAGAGAGAAGCTCGGCTGCCCTGAATGTGAGCCTGTGAGATGGGAGGTTTTATTGTACTTTTCGGTTTCTTCAAAGTTCAACATAGATATTGTTCAACTGCTAGAGCAAATTCAGAAAATACATTTAACTGTCTAAAGAGGGGGAGTATAGAGAAAGTATTCTGAAAACTGCATCTTAATACAACATGTCCCGGGGTTGATGGGTAGCTCTGTGTGCAGTGCTCGTTGTTCTTAGCACCTGTTCTTGGTTCCTGAGTTGCTCCAGCAGCCGCTGAAACTCCTCTTCTTTCTCCTTGGCCTCTCTTATAGTAGCCTGATTTTGTTCATCATAAGCCATGGCTACCACAGCCAGGATGAGGTTGATGAGGTAGAAGGAGCCCAGAAAGATAATCACCACAAAGAACAGCATGTATGTCTTACCAGCTGCCCGCAGGATCTGTGTTTGTAGTAAAAAAGAAGCTGCGAGAACTAAGGACAAAGTTCTCTTTTAAAACAAAGAAATAATCAATGTTTCAAGTTGTTTAAATTGAAACAAATGAAAGAAGTGCCAACCAGCTGGAAGAGGTTTTCCCAATAGTCCTGGGTCATGAGTCTAAAGAGGGCAAGGAAGGCCCAGCCAAATGAGTCAAAGCTAGTGTAGCCATAGTTGGGGTTTCTCCCAGCCTTCATGCATGTGAATCCTACAGGACACTTTCTGTCAACAAACAAGCAGAGTCAGTGTGTTATGACCACTAACCAAAACAACTGACAGGACCATGGGAAGGATTACTGTCACTCATTCCTACCCAGCATCTGAGCTGTTTCCACAAAGCAGAGCATCGAGGCTGCCTTCCAAAAAATAGTGATTTTCTACAGCAAACCAAAACAACAGTGATTGACACTTGTCTTAATGATTTTTTCTTTAAAAAATAGATAATGTATCATGAACATACCTGGGTTTTCTATATATTCCTCAAAATTAAAAGTACTGTTAGAGTATGCAGTAGAACCAATGCCCATCGAGGTCTCTATGGGCATGGTGTCATTGAGCGCTGACGTGGTGTTGAAAAATTCAAATGTACTGTTCGTATCAATGGGCCATCGCACACACTTGTGACGCAGATTTCCCATGAAAAGCTGTAGGCCGATAAGGGCGAAAACAGCGAGAGCAAACACCGTAAGAATCATGACATCCACCATTTTCTTCACCGACTGGATGAGAGCGCCCACGATGGTTTTTAAACCTGAAGGAAAGAATGTGACATGTCTTTAAGGAAGTCAATTATGAATAGTCAATAAAAATATATACGTGATTATTTTTACCTATGTCATATGTAGGCCAATCACACTTTCTTCTCTTAGTACTTTTTTACTGATTTAAAAAATCTAACCTGTACAGACACTTACAAATTATACACAAAACTGAAATGATTAACATACCAGGAATCACGGTTATTGTTTTCAGGGCTCGAAGTACACGAAATGTCCTGAGGGCTGACACGTTGCCAAGGTCAACAAACTCAGTGATGTATCTGTGGGATTTTCACAAAGCACACGAAATCAAGGGGAAAAACCAACACATCACACAGAAACAGTAAATAACCTGTCCGCACTTCAACAGCACATTAACAAACATTTATCAAGAGCAGCTCTTTTGTTACTCACGCCATGCTGATCACCATGAAATCCAGCCAATTCCATGGATCTCGAAGGAATGTAAAAGATCCAACACAGAAACCTCTGGACAAAACTTTGACTGTGGCCTCAAAGGTATAAATACCAGTAAAGACATACCTGAGAAGGAAAGCAATGCCGCACAAGTAGGTAAAGTGAGAAGACGAATTGTCCATCATAATATCAAGTACAGTGAAGTACTCACTCCACAGTTTTACTCCACGCTGGTGGGTTGCTCATTGTCATGAAAACACAATTCGATAAAATTGTGATCATGATGAACATGCTAAATAATTTGAACTTGGATTAAGGAAAGTAATTGAAGTGAAGTGATAGACAGAACACATCTCCTGAACACACACACACACACACACACAATCACTGGAAGGATATGAATGTATGAGAATGTTGATGGCTACTTTTCTAACTGAACTAAAGGGGCTCAGAATGTAACAAGCTGGTTCTGCATTGAATCTGTAGATTGTGTTGCCTTTGCTGATCACAATGAATGTCTGAAAAACACACAGATTGTTAAATTATGACAATCAACAGACACTAAGAAACATCCAGTTAAAAATGCAGTAACCACTTTAAAACGATGCATTACTAAATATATTTTTGTCGAAATATCTAAGGCTGCTGCAGTGATCAGATTTGCCATAAAATTCCATATAAGAATTAGAATTCTGACATTCTGTGCTCTGTAGAAGGGGTCCAGGTCCTCCAGTGGTACACCAAGTTTCTCTGGTGGAGGGTCTCCGTAGATCATGGGCAGACTCTTTCCTGCCTCCAGGTCAGCATTTGGAGCTTCTTCCTGTTCCTCCTCATGGCCCTCTACTTCTGCGGCCTTTTTTCTTTCCTCCTGGGCCCTCTTGATCTGGGCCAGTGATTCCCGGGTGAAGGGGCGGAACGCATCAGTGCTTGAGGTTGGGAGAGCGGTCACCATCTTCGCATTGCGAAGTTATGCAGCCTCACCAAGGTCTCCCTAAAAGAAGCTAAAGACACAATCAAAATCCTGATGTTGGACAAATGACATTACAGCCAAACCCAGCAGTAGCATGCAAAGAGTTTTTCTTCTTAGGTTTAACAAAATATTGAAATTTAATTTAATCTTTTCCCCTGGTCTTAGTCTTAACAAAAGCTAAAAGGTTTTGTTTAAAAACGTGTAATAGTGACAATATAGTGCAATTCTGTGAAAACAAGGCTGAGGTTTTACTTATACTTATACTACTTATACTTGTTGGACGCCCCCTGATGTTAAAACAGCAATAAGTGAAAGCCACTATAAAAGTGTTGTTCATGTTCCTATACAGCAGTTCCCCTGGATACGAACATCGACTTACGACTTACATAGATACGTAGATACTACTCATATTTAGAGTAGAAATGGCATTTAAATGACCTTAACTGGTAATTATATAACGCCTTACGAACAATTCAACTTACGAACAGCCTTTGGAACCTATTGTGTTCGTAAGTTCTGTATTCCTGAACTCTGTCCGTCTCCCTTTAGCTGTGGTCTAACCTGGTGCCTGACATTTACTGACTTGACACCATTTACTAGAGCGCTTGAACGTGTGAAGACGGTAACAAAATCAGCAGACAGGGTGAGAACTTGTACTTTCCCACCGTTCAAAAGAGACCCCAGCTTCAGTTGTGTACATCAAGTTACTTATTACCCTAGCAGACCCCCTCGGCTGCGTCCAAGTGGCGTTTGCTTACATTTTTTTGATGGGTTTAGCGATGATGCTGTCAAGGTCATAAATTTAGTCTGTGAAGAATTTCCCAAAATTTGAATCTGGGTAGTTTTTTTTATTTTTTTAATGGACCAGTGGTTCCAAAATGTACAAACATTTGACATCGTATATTATATTAAATGCTTAGGTCTGGAAAAACCCTGCCACCATCTTATTATTCTCCCTCTGTTTCTTCTTAAAATAATTTCTCTTTTGGTATAAAAGTCTTCTATTATTAGGTATGGTGATGGCTGGAACTAATTCCAGCTGAGTATGGAGCAAAAGAGGAATTACTGTTCAGAATTTTACACAGTCTCTAATAAATCTAATCCTCACTCCAAAGGATTTTGAACTTGGGCCAGAAAACTCAAAAGGCCCAAAAAGACCAGTTCCGTGAGCGGCACCTTGCAGTTTTGTCTCTAAGATGTGTGTGACCTACAGTGTGGAAAATGTTTAGGAAACACCAACATGAAAGATGTTTTACGGCCATGGGTCGGTCACCTAACCCTAACCTTTGACCCTGAGCAGTTACATGTAGTGAGAGCGAGGTTTGGCAACCGAATGTGTGTAACAGAAGCAAGGCAGCTGCTGTTGTGACACATGTAGAGACACAGATGCCACGGAGGCTACCGGCACGACAAGACAGGATGACTGAACAGACATATGCAGGGTAATACCACCCTCAAACCGCCTCACTTCAACTGAAAACGCTGTATTCACACACATATGTGACTGCGTACCCGCTCACACACAGATATGGTGCCGGCCCAGCTGCTACGGGCAATCAAGACGGAGCGGCGTGTTTCCGAAGGCCGATGACTCTGCTCATTCCTTCCTGGCTGAGCCTTTGCTCTGCTCCTCACATCCCTCCGATAAACAGGACAGCAGGCCAACTCATCTTACCTAGCTGACTCCTCTCCCTCCCTCTACAACCTTCTATTTCACATGGGGCCCCAAACACCCCTGGCTTGCGCCGCTGCACCTTCACACCCTCACCAGCATGTTACAACCACCCCACCACCATCCATCCTGCTATGTGACACTTGAGCCTCTAAATGCTTCCTTCATACAAGGCAGACTTTATGAACTTGAGCCCCTCCACTCATCAATGCTGCCATCTTTGATCCCGCCAACACACAGAGATTTTCCTCGGCCGCCTCGGTCCCTGGGTCTGTATACTGTTAGCCATATCAATAGAGATTTTCCATCAAAAGTCAAACTGTGCACAGCTACACCTACTGGTCACTCAGTGCACAAGTCCCACTTTCACTGTCTCCACCATCTGATTCAAAATCAGCGTTTGCAGACATGGGCCCCCGGAGCCCTGAACTATCAGCCGATCTTAAAATACACCTGTGTCCCTGGAATGGATGTGTTCCTCTGTGGCCTGTGGTGGACATTTCCTCATGGCATTACATCACGCTGGTCCTGCTAAAGCCATCAAAAGGCTCTTTTTAAAAAAAGCCGGGTCCTTCAGTTGACACGTGGCCAGTTTGTCCCCTGCCTCAGTTACATTTTGGCATCCTGTTAGGGTTTGGTGGCTACATTAATCAGTCTCCCTGAACCAAAGAGCCAGAAGTATAGGTAAGCCTGGGATATTTAATGACAGTCAAAATAGATTCATCTGTATCATAGATTTCATTTTGTTTCTCACACCTCAAATGGCCATGTACAAAAAATACACAACTGACAACAAATACGTTCAAATCACATGATATGGCAGTGTTAGACTCTTAAAAACATTTACTAAGTTATTAAAAAGTCATAATGTTTTTAATTGCCCAAATTAAATTTTTATGTGGCTTCTTGTAATGTTCTAGATAATCCTATGGAATGATTTTTTTGAGTTGCTGACACGCTAGATAATCCTATGGAATGATTTTTTTTTTTGAGTTGCTGACACATGGCGCTGTTGCTAAGAGCTAGCCCGAGCGACGGACACTCTGAAAACATGGCTGCCAGCAGGGATACAAGGATTAGATATTCTTGGCCGTGCTGTCTGTGGGAAACATCTAGACCAGTTACAGCTCATTCTATCTGTTTTGTGTATTTCAACCCATCCAGGTCCATGAACAGAATTAGCAGTTTAATATCTGAGCAAAAGAAAAAAAAAATACTATTGTAAATATATAATGTTATAACATTGTTTTGGATTCACTAAACTTATAAATCCTTCTAAAAGTAGTGGTAACAGTAGACGAGTAGGCTCAAGGTGTGAGGGACTGATTTAGTACTTGAATGTTAGTTCTGGAAATAAAAAAACAAAACAGGTAGGTAGTTATGAAATGGTTTCCTCATTTATGTTTTCTTTAAAATTAGACCTGACCTGAGTGTTTATACAGCTCTCAGGATTATTCCTAACCCTGACACTTTTATCATGATAGTTTTATTATTATTATTATTACAAATAAAATATGGTTATTAATATTGTTATTGTTACAATTGTTATAATGTTATTATTTATGTGTAATGTGTATGTGTAATTTATTAATATGTTTGCTGTTTACTGAAGATCTCAAAAAGTCATTGACTTTCAATTGGGATGCACCTATTCTCTGTGGAGACACTGTTTCATTTCTGAAAGCACTCAATCTTCATCACTGCAGTCTGTTTAACTCTTGTAAACTAACTGTTTTGGGTCGATGCCTAGGTCTTGGGAGACAGCAGTGGTTTACTGTAACTACCAGACTACAACATTTACCATTTAACAGAGTTAACATTGACAGGATTTATAAAGACACAGTGAGACCAGACCAGGTTTTAGCTTGGTGCTCTGCAGTATTTATAAATCATAACAAGATACAAACAAGAGCATCAACGCTGTGTTTCAGGTTAAATCTTTCCTGTGAGATTTTTAGATACTTTGGTAAATTAATTTATTTAAGTACTTTTTTTTTGTTTTGAAGATGTCCGCCCTTGGGTAAATTTTTTGGGTAAAGTTGAAGACAATCAAAATGACTAGGCCAGTCTGTGTGGACAGGTGTTAAACTGAGAAAGAGAGAGAGAGAATGTTGGATTTCAGAGGTGTGTCTGTCTGAGTGTCTGTCATATACAGTATATCATCTTGCATATCACAGTGGACTATGTGACCTGTGACATTCTGGATGAGGATATAGGATGGTAAAGGAGAAACCTCATCGTTACACTAGCTGGCCATGGAATGTGAACGCCAATATTCACCTCCGGTAACTAACCTTTCCAGCGTTCGGAATATTTCACAAGGACAGCATGAGAGTGACTGCGCTGTCTTCACTCTCACTTCACAAGATCTCAGAGGCCAAAGCACAAAGTCTTTTTGGTTATATATGGTCCGAAAGGTAGCATGATTCTGTCTTCCTATTATTATTTTTTAACACAACTAACCGGTTCATACTGTTGCCATTAAGATGCCCAGAATTCCTAGACAATTCCTGTGGCACTGTGCCATATCTGACTGATTATGAAGCCATTGGCACTCGTGGCATGTGGTTAAGTTGTAAATGACTGAGCTACAGAGCAAACAAGGGCTTTTATCCCCACATCTTCTGACATCTACTTTGCTCCTGTTCGCCCCCTGTTTTCTCACGGGGTCAGATCTCCACGGCGTGGTTTGCTCTCCCCCAGCCTGCTTCAACACCCTGTCACCCATCAGTTAACCTTGTATTTCAAACCCTATAGGGAGCCACAACAAAGTTGACATCTCCACCTGTTGCTGCCATTGTATGTTGTCACCAGACGTGTTTAACACTTTCCACATCACAGCTGCGTGCTGACACGGGCAGCACTAACGTTTTCTACTGAAGGATTTCATAATCAGGTTGGTGGACAAACACCTTAAAGACACAACAGCTCTGTGTATACTGGGATGTTGCTAAGACAGCTGCTGTCATCCATGGCATGCTCATGTCTTTGCATGCCAGGGAGTTGTGAAGACCTACACTTGGATCACTGCTGCAACCATGTGATCAGATTGCTGGCAGAGGCTTGTAGGCCAACAGACTCATAAGTCTGGATTGTCACCATAGGACACGACCTACACGAGTGACTCAGATAGACCAAGACCCCAGATACTGGGTGTGTGTGTGTGTGTGAAGAGCGAATGAAAAGTCCAATTGAGTATAAATGTAATGTAATAAACCATAAGCCATGTTTACCAAAGATGTTAGATATTAGAAGAGAACTTTGAAGTGAAACCCAACCTGGTAAAATACAGCGAAGCAGTTACATCAAGAGGCTTCTTCAGTTCTAGGTGTAGAACTGAAGAAGCCTCTTGGACTGAGAGGTGAAACCAAACCAGTCCAGTTGCCCCTGATGTATCTGCTTCAGGTAAGATGACCTGGACGACGGAGAACTTACAGACTGTTGAAGAACAGATGATAAAAGCAAAAATATTATAGAAAATAGCTCAGGGTATGACACAAACATTTTAAAAATGGTAGAAAATAGCTCAGGGTATGACACAAAGAAGATGAATTCATCTGAAGATGAATTCAAGTTGTGCAAAATGTCCAGTTAGCTAAAAGCTAGCCAAAACAATAACCATAGAACAGAATTAAGTTTCACAAAGTTGAACAATGACAGTGAAATAGGTTGTACCCAAAACGTCTATATGAAGCTGAATAACAATCTGAAGAGCAAATTGTTGAAACAAAAGAAATGTTGAAATTGGAAGAAGTTTTGTCATAATAATAAAAATGGCTATAAATGAAGAATAAAGGTTTAATATTAAAATGAAACAAACCTTAAACAGCATCTCAAACCCAACTAAATTAACATGAACTTCACTAAAGGTATAAAAAAAACAGCTCTGTCAAAAACAATGCCTTCTGAAACATGGAAAAAAGAAAAAAAAACTTTGAATGCCACAATTAGCCGTGGGGCTGGACAGCGGACGGGTCTGGTCAAAGATCTAAAACATAAATTTGTGAACTGATTTTTAGAATGATTCAATAATTCACCATGAACCTGTTTTCCGTCTAAGTGACTCTCCAGTTTGATTAAGTCTCAAACTGACCCATTTGGCCCTGATGCACAGAAATGTGAGCCGTAAACATGACAGAGATATGATGAATATTTGGTCCAATTAATGAGGAGAAGCCAGGGGGCGATATAAGACAATTCAGTTCACAAGAACACAGACAACGCTGACCTAGAATTATCTACACCTAAACATAACACACAAAAACAAAAAACATATAAAAACAACAAAAGTTTAAATTAAAGTAGCTAACAGAAAATATTTATTTATCTTTAACCTTATTTCACCTTTCCAATACTGTGGAAAGCACACGAGGCAGGCCAAGAAGTCACATGGGTGGAGTTGGTGAAAGAAACTCAAGACCGACACCTTCTTCTTCCAAGAGCATGTGATGCGAGACACACAAACACACAGAGCAGCAGAAGAAAACCATGTTGTACTCTACTGACATTAAAAAAGGTGAAGTCTTTCATCAGACAGTCGTTGGACCAGACAGAGAATTCACTGCCTGAGACAAATGATCCATCGTACAAACAAACCTCAGACCAGAGGCTGATAAAAAGAAACACCACCAGGATTATCCCTGTCTGTGTTCCTGTGTCTGGCAGTAGGTCAGAGGACCCTGAAGCCTCATCCAGGTCCACTTCTAATACAAGAGCCACAGTTTCAGCCCAAAGATTTGACCGGCCCACTTCTATTGTGCCACAGCTACGGCGTGGGCCACACGTATCAACGTAAAATCGTGGGTCATTTGAGCATCCACAGCATCGTAGTGTTTTGCTCATCTGCCATGAAGGCCTGACCTAAAAATAAATCTTTGTCCCCGAGGGAGGAGACATAGTGGGGAATGAGAAGGTTGCTGAAGACCCACAGTGGACGTTACATTGGTGTAGAGACGCTCACCTGGCAGGTGAAGCTACAGGAGCCCATTCACACTTTTACCCTTCGTCATGAGGCATAAACACATGGAATTTCTCCCTGCAACAAACCTCTCTGTCTCACACACACACACACACACACACACACACACAGCTAAGGTGCCATAAATCTACCAAATTCAAATTTGACACAATATCCGTTAAAGGTCAGTGTTTATTATTAGAGCAAAGATGAGGGACTTTATTAAGTCCTGACTGACTTTAACTTAAACTCTGTTAATCACAATCAGAGTTATCTGTTTGTTGACTTTTGTTTCTATTTAAAGCTGTACTCAACTACACACAGTACTGTGATTTGATCTATGTATACACCATCAATCAATCAAAAAGTAGTCTGATTTATTCAAATAAGCTTCGCTTCGCTACAACAGCCACACTATGGCAAGATAAAAATGTGGAATAAACTCCACACCGAGAAGCACTTTCCAACGTCCAGCAGGATCCTCAAAACCCACTGGAAACGTTGATATTCATGCAGGACCTATCTCTAAACTCATGACAAACTGTTGAACTCAAGCAGGGGCTATACCTTACAAGTCACAGCAAATATTCCCACAAAGTCCAAGAAATTTGGAGAAAAAAAAATTGCATAAATCAAGTCCTCCGTCCAGCTTCACACCAAGGACGTAATTCTGCCCTTTCTCTGGCAGCCAGTGCAGGGCTGCAGGGCAGGACAGCTGTTGCTGACGCAGTGTGGTGCCTTGCACTGAAACCGGAGGAGTTGTTCCAGGTAGGACTGGATCAGATCGGACCTTTGACACTTCCGGCACTGAAGCTGCTTCCCATTCCCACACAGCTGGTCACTTCTGATGGAGGCCAATGTTTACATCTGCAACTTTTCCTGAGGGCTCTGATGAGATGACCATCAGCTCATACTGTACCTCTCACCTTCTAATGTTTAATTCACGCCACCATCCCACATGCTTGATTCCTAATTTGTCCTTGCCTATAAACAATCATATGAGCCGATTTAAATGAGGCTCATATACTGTGTGATCTTTGGTTAAAAGTATTATTTTAATCACACTTAATCTCTTGTTATCCATATAAGGCAACGATGGCAACAATTAGGTCACTGATCTGTGACTTTGTGACCACAGAGTGGCTTCAAAGAACACAAGACTCAATCTAAAAAAGACATTTTCCATTAAACCATTTCCTGTTTACTAGTAGACATGAGTTGATGTGATACGGGCTTTCAATGTGCTCTATGACCTGAGAATAATGAGATTATTCTCAGGTCAAAAATATAGGAATCATACGCAGTATTATCTGTTAATGAAGCAGTTATTTGATGTATTAGGAACTTTATCCCGAGTGTTGTGTATTCTTATTCTAGTACTAGGTACTTCTATGAAATGTCAATATTTTATAAAATGTTTATTATTGTAGTAGTAGTACCAGGCACTACTACTACATTTGTAACTAGTCATTTCAATGACACCGGCAGACTCTGTACATCATCCAACATGAAAAATCTGGTGTCTAACTTTTAATCCTATAACAAGTTCTCAGTAAATAAGCCAGGACTGTTATCAGAGCACTTAAGACTGATGAGTGACCCGTGCTGTCAGGCTATATTTGGCTGAAAGGTGTGTAGTACGATTATACAAGGAAAACGATATCTACGATTACAAATGTAAACCAGTGTCATCCGTTTCTTGGAAATGGAGACGAGTTAAATCACCCTCCTCCATCCCCCACTGCTATCAATGTTCTCTACAGTCACAGGTAGTGATACATTATTTTCCATTGTTTTTGTAAATATATATATATATATATATATATATATATATAGTGTAAGTGGGTCATTTGGTTTGGTGTCTGTATTAGTCCCTCAGGGATGTAGTGCACAAGATACTGAATGTTTGTCATTTCTGACAGCTAAATATTGTCAAAGTCTATATTAATATAAGTGAGTCGTATTATTATTATAGAGCTGGGGTCTCCAAACCATTTTCCTAAGAAAGCTACTTTTACAAAATAAAAATGGCCAAAAGGTTATCTGCACAATATTGCCCTCTGTTGACTAAAAGGGGCACAACCGACCAAGTGTTTGCATCCTTCTGTATAATGGTTACCAAAAACTCTAAATAATCTAATGTAATCTATGTCAAAAATAACCCAAACACGACAGATTAAATTATGAGAAAAAACAAACTCCCCACACCCCAAAAACATGATTTTTGTTTTGTCAAAAATTCACCATATATATGTATGTATGTATGTATATGTGTATATATGTATGTATGTGTGTGTATATATATATATATATAAACAATATACTATACTATGATATTCGTGGAAATCTAAAACAAATGTACGGAGGAACAGAGGAAAGTCTATGGATGCTTGATTATGGCAAAAATCAGAATCAGAATTTTTTTAATTTATTTTGAAATCGTAATTGTTCAACAATTCTACATTGGTTTAAGAATTTGCTATTATTGAACTTTACTGTAATAAATAAAACAAATAATATATATATATAATTATAATATTATTAATACATTTACTGTAATAAATAAAACAAATAATAATATATATATACAATTATAATATTATTAAGCAGACTTTAAGTTTTAATTATTAAGTCTCAATTTTAATAAGATTCATTAGCCCTTTGGCGAGCTTCTTGGAAAGGGACAGCGAACCTTACTCTACAGGGGAGTATTAAAGGGACAACGTCGTTGCCAAGGGAACGCTGCAACATCCGGTTAGGTTTGGTTCGTGCCCACTGTTTGCTAAGTCTTTTTTTCTAAATCAGTCCGTTTTACGTTTGTGGTAAATATAGGACATTAAACTGATTCTGAAGGACGTTCACGGAAGTTGTCACTTCGTGCATTTTTCAAAGACGCTGCAGTGTTAACCAGTAGCTTAGATCATTTAGACAGGGAACACACATGGACTCTGAGTATATTAAGAAGCATCTGGGACAGTGTTTGGCAGAAGGACTGGCCGAGGTGGCGGAGAGGAGACCAGCCAAGCCTGTGCTGTTTCTGGCCCGGTGGCTTTACAAATACAACTCTAATGTCGTCTACGAATCTGAGGTAAGCTGCTGCAGTTCTACCTTTTCGTCAGTAGAGGACTCAGTTTACTTTAAGGTTTACTTTTGGTTAACATTAAAGGTAAACTTTAATGTTAACCAAAGAAACTATTTTTTTATAAAATCTTGACTATAAATGTAATGTTCTATTTTCTTTGTGGTTCAACAAAATATTTCCATAGGTACTATGATGCTTTTGGACATAATCCAACTTTTATACGTTTATATAAAAACACCTTATAAGTTATTCATTTAAATTTACACGGATTCAATGAATGTCTTAACAACTGAACATTAATTCTTAGTGCACCGCAAAACAGAGTAGGTGTACATGATTGTACAAGAAGGGAAAAACAAGTACTTCATATACTTGTTGTGGTTACTAAAAAGTAAATAAGGACCAAACCAAAAAACATTAATCAACGTTTCACGCAACTGTAATCACTTTCATTAAAGACCCTTGTGCTCTTAGAAATTAAGTATGTATTCTTTTAAAAACTGCAATTTAAACTGTCTTCCAACTTCTTAGTACGCATGTACATATTTTTGAAAAGATTGTACAAGGTAGAATGGGCCCGTGTTCATTCTCCTTCAAAAATAATCATTAAAAGACGGACTCGTAGTCCATAGTTAATTAAGTTTTACTGCCCCCAGTGGTTCTACCCAACTACTTCAGTTCCAACATTTTGCTAATTGAAAAAAAAAGGAAGAAAAGAATCAGTTCCCATGAAAACAAAACTGGTAATTACTACATCAGTTCTCAGTCAATTGTCTTTCTTATTAAAAAAATTAAATTGCCCTACTAGCCTTAAATGTTTTCTCTCTGTGTGATAGTGCCTCTTTATTTTCAGAAAAAGGCCCATTTGGCTGTGGTGCAGCAGGAGCTGACAAAAGCCAGAGAAGAGGCGCTGAACCAGGAGAAATTAAAGGAGGAGGAGGAGATGAAGATCATCAAGACCCTGGAAGAATCTGAAAAAGTATGTTGTGAAACAAATTCTAAATTGTTCTTCATACAATGGGAGTACAGTATCAGAATCATAAGATTACTGTATCAATTTTTATATATTTTAAGTACATTATGTAAAGAAGAGAAAATGTTCTATATTTTCTGCACAAATCTAAACGGTTTCCTCCTGTTGACTCCACATTGGAAAACACACTGACTAATACTGTAGTTCTCTGAACAGGTGCATGTAGGGTGCAGTGATCAGGAACAAACCATAACAGGTGCCACTGATAACATCACAGCAGAGGCAGAAGAGACAGTGACCACAGCACATCCTGCAGCAGTACAGGGCCCAGAGCAGGTGGTGACCAAAATCTACCTATAAATAAACACGCTGGTTTAGATGATGACTGACTCTTTCAGAATCAGCGTGAATAATCTGACTCTGCAGAGCGCGTTTCTGGTAGTGGGACAAGAGCTGCTTTAATTATAAGGCAGTTGTACGTGGCGTGACATGGATGGAGTGGGGGAAAAGCCCTTCAAATAACATATAGTACATGACATGGTGTTTCTGGCAGATTCCAGTTACTGTCACTGGTGTACAGTTACCAGAGAGAAGCCCAGAAACAGATGCTCCATCATCTGAGATTATCAGCAGTTCTACAGATGTGTCAACTGAAAAAAACCAGCAGGAGTCAAAGAGGGACAACATAGAAGAAAAAACCGGTCATGAAGATGTGAAGACTGAGGAGGAGGTCAGCAGAAAAGAAGATGAAGAAGGGGAGAAGAAAGACCGGAATTACACTGAGGCCATGGTAACTGCTACTTATCACCACGTGTGGGTCTTTTAAAAAAATGAAGATGAAGATTTGTTCATAAGTGTCATGTTGCTGTTCTATGCAACAACTGCTCTATAGTTATGAGAACTAAACCTGACCACCAAGACATGGAGGATTGTGTGAAAGTGTTATGAAAGAGGAAACTGATGACAAACAAAAGTAATGAAAGTTTAAGAAATATGTGAAATAATAAAAAAAAGACAAATGACAGATTTCATTTCTAACATAAAAGATTGACAGCCAGAGAGATGGTCAGTAGTCAGTAGTCAGTTGATGATCAATACAGCAAAGAATGAATTAGGCATTTATATATATAAATGTAATTTGGCACAGAAGAAAATGAAACTTCAGGCAGATCAAGTCAAACATATTGATGGTTTTTGATTGATCTGCTACTTCATGTATTAAACTACGAATTTCAACAGGTTGATGAAAATACAGAAGATAAACCTGCTGATCACATCCATGATGAGGAAAGCCTAGTTCTGAAGACTGAAGATCTCAAACCAGAAGAGACAGTGTCTTCTGAAGAACAAACAACAAAAGCTGAAGAGGTGACACACCAACCAAGTGCTCTGCCTCCAAAAGACCAAGATCAGGTACAGTCTCTGATCTACAGTATGTCTCAATCAAAGTGAACAAATATAAAAGTTTAATCTTGAGACCATAGCTGTGAAATGACAGAAATTCCAGTTTTGTATTCTTTATATTTGGTTTTCCACAGGTGGATGAAGACAAGACAGAGAAACTGGGAGAGTCGACATCTGCCACAAATGACAAACCTGCGGAGACGGCAACTCCTGAAGAACAAAGAACAGAAGCTGAACAGGAACTACTGGTCCTTCAAGACCAGGACAAGGTGATGAATGGAATTCTGAACAACACTCAAGTTTACCAAAATACAACACAATTCCTGCAAATTAGACAATTGTCTTAATCTCATTTTGACATGGTTTTAAAATCCAGGTTGACGTACATCAAACTGCAAAACCTACAGAGTCTATCCAGGTGGAGTCGACTTCATCTCCCAGAAATGAAAATGTTAAGGAGTCGGCACCTCCTGGCCAAGAAGACACTAGCCAGGAGGACCAAGAATCATGTGCTGCTTCCCCTGAGGACCAGGAAAAGGCATCTGCTCTGAGTAAGACGACAGATGAAGATGTGAAAAATATATAGAGATATAAATGTGAAGAAACAAGGTGTAAAGATCTAGAGATTAAACATGTTTAACATGGTCAAAGTTGGTGAAAGAACAACATTTTCACCCACCTGGTCACTGAGTGAATATTTTCTCCTCATTACTGTTTAATTAAGTGCATCATTTCATTATATTAAACACTAACACCTTTGTTTTTATTTTACACAAAGAAAAAGAAGCAAATCTAAACCACCACAAATGACAAGTCAAGAATAAAGACTTTATTTTTTAAATGCTGGGTGTTGTGTTATTTTACTATTGTTTGACACCTAGACCAAAACCTCCCATGGTTTCTTCTCCTACTACCAAAGGCTTGACTGTGCAGCCAGAATCAAAGGATTGAGAAGAAGCAACAACACAAAGATTCACCGTGTAAATCATTGAATCAGTTGTGGTAATGTTAGCAAAGCCAGAAAAATATCATGCGACTACAACACAGATGAAACTTAATTTGCATCACACACTCAGCAGGCCATAGCATCAGTTACTTCCTTTTATGTTGTAAAAGAGCACTGTGGTGCACAGAAACTTTTTTTTTACATTCTAAGTTCCAGGTAACAGTGACTCAGCTCCAAAATTAGCAGTGTGGTGCAAGAATAAAAAGACACAGTGTTTGAGATCAGGCCAGCTTCCTCTAATGAGTTTAAAGACAGACCGTCATTAACACACTGGTCCTCCAACCGTCACACCACACTGACACTGGTGAAGACTGATGTGCACCTCTCCCTGTACATTACTGACACACTTCTAATAAAGTCATATTGCTGATTAGTTGAAGTCTGAAAAATGATTAACTGTGTTTGACATTTGTTATGGTTGTTTGTAATTCATAATACAAAGAATTACTTTGTTTCTATGGGCACAAGTTCCACCGGGATTCTACGTACGGCTTGGAAGACATCATTGATGTTGACTTTGTCCCCAAACTCAATCTCTCTGTGTTCCAGAAGTATTCCCTGCAGAGAAATAAGAAATATGGAGTTCAATGTCAACAACTAACACTGTGGAAAAGTACTTTTATCACCAAATTCATAGGATATTGACAGACTTTTACCTGCTCTCCTCTTCCAATCACAAAGACTCCACCAAGAACAAATCCCTCTCCCAAAACATTTCCCATGAAGCCCTTCTGAAAGGCCCTCAGGCCGTTCATCCACACCCCAGGACGGAGGAATGCCAACAGACCCATCTTCCTCTCACGGGGTCCATAAAAGCGCTTCTGCAAAGAAACGCATGAAACCCTTGAACGGTCATGCAGAACTAAAGCAGTTCTGATCAAAGATAACTTTGGTACGTACACAGTGTGAAATGACACAGGACAAAACTGGTTTTAAAAAGGTTTGCTTTGAGTTTCAGAGCAAACCACACGAGTTTCCAGTTATGAGGACGAAAAAAGGAACCTTTTTATCCAGGAAAATCTCCCCTTTGAAGTAAGGCCTGAAGTTCTGGACCTCAGTGCCCACGTCCTCCTTCACCACGGCGTAGAGAGGAACCCCAAGCTCATCAAGCTGGGGTTTCAGAGAGGACAGCTCTGCAGCCTCCTGAGGCCAAGGATAAAGGAACACAGTGTGAGAGCTTTCCATATTCTTTGCATATATATATAATAAAAAAATAAAAAAAACAAATGCAGACATGAAAAGGCAACAACGTCGCACACCTATCAAGTGTGGTATTCTACAGCCATATAGGCCACTGCATATTTTTTCACAACTTTTCTTGAATAAAATAAAAATAAAACAAACCTATGCAAATATTTTGGTTACTTTTTGCAGAGTCACTCTTTACAATTTCCTCTTCAATAAAACAATCCGGTCATGTTGACTTTATGGTCATGCACAAACAGAGACACTGGTACAGTCACACACAGCACAGACTAAAGTTATGATTATATTTTATTTTTAATAAAATCGATTAATCGTGATTCGTGCACTTCAGAAGATAATTAATGCTGAGGTCATCTTGAACTCACCTCTCTGCACAAAAATCATCCAGGTCGCCTGACTGCCATGACGACAGCTCCAGACTTGTCCCACAGAGACTTGGCTTTCAGGGTTATTGGTTCTGACGCACAGGGTGAAGCAAGCGGATTGAAGTCGTTATATTATGACGCACTCCATTAAAACAATAAAGCTCGTGCAGCGGTTTAAGCAGCGGTTCAACAAGAGAACATGATCGAGTGTTTATTTTGAGGACCGGATCTTACCTCCTGTCAACGTCTTCAGCTCAGTCTCCTCCAAATGTTTGAGAGTGGCTTTCAGCGGTGGTGTTAGAAACACGTTGGTGACAAAGTTCATCACAGCCCTGAAGAGGCCGAAGAAAGAGGACACGACTCTGACCACGACTCCCTCCGCCATCATTCTGTCTCAGTCAGACTTTATTTACCACATAATAACCCCTGGACTACTGCAACAACTGCCCTGTGACAACAGCTGTACCTCCAGCCACACTGACCTGTCTAAGCAACTCTGGCTTTTTATTGAAGGAAGTATGGATCACGTGATCAGATTAAGTCCAGCTGTTGCGTTCAGTGACGCCCTCATCTGGTCAATACAGAGCATAGAACCATTCTGAGTCTTAGTTCAGAATAATCAGAAATGGTACTGAACAAACGAATCTCACCAAAACATACACCTGGAGTTAAACTTATTTACACAAGATGTATAAAAAAATATAAAACTAGATAAATAAAAGAGGCAGATGTTTAGTAAATTGTTTTGTTGTTGTGCCGTTTTGATCTCGAACACGGTGACAATTCTAAATCATAATGATTCGACACTGTACAGAAAACAAAGACAGAATACTAACAAAGACGCGACTGCAGGTGTTCATATAGTGAACCATACTTTCTAAATGTTGCCACAAACTTCACAACCTACTTTTAACAAATTTAAAACATTTAATATATGATGTGACGGCTGGAGTGCGACAGGACTAAAATAAAATAGGCAATTATGTTGACTTCCTTGACCAATGGGACGGAGGAAGATGTCGGTGAATTGGCATGTTAATTATCCAATCATATGTCGCCAAGCAACATTTTGAGCCAATCGGCGTGGTGTGTTGGGTGGGCCTTTTTCTAACGGAGAGAAATGTCCCAGGCGTTTGCGCTGTCTTTTTAAATAAAATGGACTAGCGCATGACGGTTATTTTGGTAATCTTAGCTTATACACCAGGCAAAATATGTATTTAGGGAGAAAAAGTCAGATTTTTACCCGATTGTTTACACTTTCTTTTAATATCTACTGTTAGATGTAATGAGATGTAAATTACAGTCCAAAATGACTGACCGCCTGTTGTTTCATGGACTTGGAGCCCGAAATATGTGGTAAGTTTATTATTGTATTTCTCGTAGTGTTCTAAAAAAAGTAATAGTTATTTTTTGTTGTTTTAGTCTGGTTTTGTAAACTGACAGGAGTGACGCCATAGGGTTAAGTTTAGTGACGTGTTTCCATGGAATCAACAGCATGTGACGTTCAAATGAAGTGGGTCAATGCTGGACCTCTGGAGTATGCTTAATATATGCTTTTAAAATATTTTATGTTCTGTGTAATATTTTAGAGACTGTATGCTGAGGAGGGATTTTAAAGCTATTTCTAAGTTAAGTTCTAGAAAGTTTTATGCTAAAATGAACAAAACCACAAAAACCTGGTGAATAAACCATTTTTCAGTGTTTTCAACCCTGGGGATTTCTAACTACTCCATTTTTATTTGTCATAAAATGCATAAAAAGCTAAGTTGATTTGGATTCATTTATTATTACAAATAAGACAATCTTTTATAAGATTGTATTATAAAATAAGCTATAAATTAATTCTTAAGAGCTGAGTTAATTCTGGTAAACATTGCATTTATATGTGATGTTTTTCGAGACTACGGCAAGTGAGAGAAATGCATCATGGGCAAGAATGGGACGAAGAGTTGGCCAGCATGTTACAAAGCAGCCTGCATCAGTAAGTTTGATTATTTACAGCTTCAGAAGTTAACACTGATGTATACAAACTCACTGTTTGCATGTGTGTTGCTAAGTAAGGCTTCAGTGTACCTTTTCTAGCTTCAGCATGCGGGAAACAAAGAGAACAGTTTGCCTGAGGATCCCCTTCCTGCTGCTGTATGAGGCTGTAGCCTCCTCCACTTGAAGCTGAGCTGGTTTGTGTGTAAGTGAAAGTGGACCCTGCCAGCCTCCATGGCTCATTCATCAGAACCGCCCCGCAGGGAGAAGACCCCTGGTTCCCAAGGGTTACACACCGCAACACGCAACCTCTTACGGAAGAAGGAGCAGCGGCGACGGGGAATTCGATCCTCGTCACCCATGGGCCGGGTCATCCTTATCAACTCTCCTGTGGATGGTAAACAGCAGCTTTGCTGGCTGATTGTGGAAAGAATACAGTATTACAACACAGACAAAATCCAAGTAGAGAGAAGATGAGAAACAGTTTTTTCTTATTACAGCTAGTAAAACTATATCTTACATCTTCTAAATAAAGATAAAACTATATCTTACATCTTCTAAATACCTGTCAAATAAGTAGCTCTGAACACCTATGCCCTGTAATAATACTGATAATGACTGGCAGCAGATTGTTGTGGGCGAATATCTCATATCTCAGCGATGATGCTGAAGAGCGCCACCTCTAGTGATCATTTCTCTATTATTTTTTAAACGTTCTGCTTGGTAACATGACTTTTAAATAACTAATTTTACATTATTGTATTAGTTACTTACAGACGTGTTGATGTTTGTTGTCAGGTGGAGATGACAGTGAGGATCTCCATACCATCACAGTGGATAAGAGTGTCGATGGAAAACTGGGCTTCAGCGTGCGTGGAGGCTCTGAACATGGCCTCAGCATCTTTGTCAGTAAGGTGGAGGACAACAGTACAGCAGGTGAGGTGAACCACATCTTATTCTCAACATGGCATTCACAGTGATAAAAAATGGGTTAAGGTTATGCAGGAACGTTTTTTACAAAATTGTTTTTAGAGGAAGCAGGCCTGCTGGTTGGTGATAAACTGGTGGAGGTGAATGGGATCAGCTTAGAGAGCATCACCATGAGCAGTGCTGTGAGAGTGCTGACTGGAAACAACAGGCTGAGGATGGTGGTGAGACGTGTTGGAAAAGTCCCTGGTATCCGCTACTCCAAGGAGAAAACTACATGGTAATGAAAGAGAAGTACAAATATTACTGATGAATTATACAGTAGGTGACAAATATTCAAAGCTGTGTTGTGTTTTTTAAGGGTGGACTTGGTACAAAGACGTATGGTTGTGGAGGAGAGCGGACGGACTCCTTCAGACGCCAGTTCAGGAACTGCTCTTCAAAGGATCGTTCACCTGTATACAACCTCAGATGATTACTGCCTCGGCTTCAACATACGTGGAGGAAAGGAGTTTGGTCTGGGCATCTATGTTTCCAAGTAGGTACCTCCTTCAACACTTGTCCACTGTTGATTATCTTGGTTAATAAGTCACTATCTGTTGAACATTTTAGACTGGATCCTGGTGGTCTGGCTGAGCAGAATGGCATTAAGATAGGGGACCAGATCCTGGCTGCTAATGGTGTGAGCTTTCAGGACATCAGCCACAGTAGTGCTGTGGAGGTGCTGAAGAGCCACACACACATCATGTTGACCATCAAGGTTAGAAAAACAATCGTCCTGGTCTATGGATTTTCTTTATAAATCTTGTTTACATTTCATACTATAGCTTTGCTTTAGTTTGTAGCACCAAACCTCAGCAAACATGAAATGTTTAAAAGCTGAAGAGAGGCTTCTTTTAGATTCTGGGCAAAAATAACAAAAATGTCTGTCAGCGATCCATCACTCACAGTGAGAGCAGTCTGTGTAAAGCCCATAGTAAAGTGTAGGGTTTGTATTTATGTGTATTTTATTTTATCCAGATTGTCTAAGACCAGACAATGTTCAGTTCCAGGCCTTGACAGTGACATGAACCAACCTTCTCTGACGTTTGCTGTCTTTAATCCTCATTTCTCCACTAAATGAAAAACCCAAATCTACACGAGTTGCATCGCTGCACGGCGGCTATAACAAGAGCGGATTGTGCAGTCGGGCTGACAGCTGGCATGCAGTTGTGATATTCCTCGCTCACTTTACTTGTCGGAGCTTGGGTTTCGCGCTGTGAAAAATAGCCCCAGTGTGTGCATTATTCACCAGGCAGCCCGGATCAGGTGCTGATCGAAGCATCGAGCCCGTGTTCAGTGTGTTTTGGGATCCCTGCCTGTGTCACATGGAAACTGAAAAGACGAACCGGAGTTAGAAAGCATACCAACTGTCAGAGGTTACTAGAAAGTCAAGAAGGAAAACAAACATCAGGTCAACGTTCGGGGGCCTCTGTGAGCTGCTAGGGTTACTCTTCATCAAATGTAGCAATCCCATAAAACTTTCAAGGTTTCCACTGTACCTCATTTGCATATCTGTGGTCATATCTTCACAGGAAGCAGGTCGATACCCAGCCTATAAGGAGATGGTAGCCGAGTACAGGTGGCTTAATAAGTGTATGTATGTAGGATTCGTTTTCCTGTGTCAACACTAGTATCTTTCTATTATTAAACATGTCATTATTCTGTTCAGACAAGTGTGGCTAAGTTTTTATTATCAGTTTCCCCTTCACTGCTGTTTTCCCCTAGTGGCCAACGGTGCTCAGACGTCGTCCTCCCAGGGTTCAGACTCTAACTCCTCAGCCTCTTCTCTGTCCTCTGGGACTCCTGTCAGCTCTCTGAGCGGCCTGTCTCAGGTCATGTTCCCCCCCAGTCTGCCGTTTGGCTCAGACATGGTGGATGTCAGCATCTCCACCGAAGACCTGAGGTCAACGTCATTTTAACCTCATATGATCTAACCCGTCACAAGACTGCATGAGACGTAAGCTTTTTTTCTTTTGCAGGTTTGAGTCTAACCGCACAGAGACTGCCATGCAGACAGAGATGTCTTCACAGAAGATGGGGACGGACACCACTCGCAGCCTTGGACCAACCACTCTGCTCAAAGACACAATGATCGGTGGAGGAGAGGACAGTGGGCGGAAAGAGTCGCCCAAGACAGCCATGCTGCTGGCTCTCAGCAGACCGAGCCGACCAATCAGAAGATCACAGAGCCAAGTCACTGTGGCAGGTAAGGCCACAGATGTTGTAAAAGACGTACATATAAATGGAATGGACGTATATGCTGATGCACTGTTGGTGTTAAACTACAGAGATCACACAGCAGAAGGTAAAAAAGCAGAAAGGAAAGGAGCCAGAGGAGAAGAGCACTCTGCAGCGCTCAAAGACCTTAGTTAACTTGCTGTTCAAAAGTGGACGCAAGAGAGACACTTGCAGGGGGCGCTCCAAGTCCCCGTCCACCGACAAGGCCAGCAAAGGTAACTGTTTTAGTGATGCCTGTGGTACAATGAGCCATTAGTCTGCAAAAACAGATGTTTTTGAGTGAATTGTTGTGTGATTGTGAGCAGGACGAAAGCATGTGATGCCAAATTCAGAGATGCTTGGAGTGGTGGAGGACATGGCCCACAGGCTGCTGACAGAGGAGGAGGTAGCTGCCGTGATGTCCACATGTCGACGGGTAAAGGATGAATTACTACAGCTGTGGATCCACGTTAATGTTTTCTGCCATAATGGCTTTTTTCTTAAATTGGAGAGGACTTGATCCTGTTTTGACTCCACAGTACGTTGCAGAGCAGTCGGTGGAGAACTTGATACAACACCTGCTGACAGTGCTGGACCGCCCTGAGAAACTGCTGCTGCTGAGGGAAGTCAGGTAATTCAGACTAGGATTGATATTAGTTATTGATCTAAATCTATCATGTAGGTCCTCTCTGTATATTATCACGAAGTGGAACTTGTTTGAGGAACACATTTTACCTGTAGCCACAGTTCAACAAACACACTTGCATGGAGTCATAGATTAAAATCTAGAATGGAACACAACAGACTAAAATGTCTTGTTTTCCAGAGTGCTGCTTCCTCCATCTGACCTGAGTCTGTTCAATAACATGGTGACTACGATTGAAGCTGAGGCCTATGACATCCTCAAGTTTCGCTCAGGTGCATTTAATAGTTTTTTGATCAATACAAGTTTTGAGGAGAGCATTAGCAGACATTTAAATGTCTCCTAAATGATTACTGTCTGACTTCTATTCAAATTTCCCCTTTAAAACTAGCACCTGTCTTTTTGTTTTTTAGTCAGAACTCCTCCTCTACGTTCTCCAATGTCTGGTAGAGCACCAAAAAGGCGCCTCATCACTCCCATCCCAGGTCAGTGAAAGGTGCTCAGGTCTCAGCTTTTAACAAGGTTGCAGATGTATTATTCTTTTGTAACTTTTTTAAAGGATTTTTTTATGATTTATATATTACATTTATTTTTTTTTAAAGCAGGTCATGTTGCATTGCACTTCTAATGATATTTTGAGCATTTTGACAGGCAAATAGAAGTGTATCTAGGCAGTCACCTGTTTGATCACAACTGACCTTACATGGTCTTACAGGATATTAGAATATCATATGGTTTGTCATTTGTAAGAAACATTTCTCCTTTACCTACCAGATTACAGGGGAGGATTTGAGTTGCACCATGCTGAGGAAGTGGAGAAAGAGAGCCATCTACTGGAGGAACTGGAGAAGCTCAGTTTGTCTGGAACCCGTTTGTCCAGGGATCGGCACCAGATCTCCTCATCCTTCAGTCCGCTGCTGGACATACCAGTGGATGGATACGACACCGTGTCCAGAGAGGTCAAACCTTTCACCAGCCCCATCGTGCCCAACTGGCTGCTGGCCCGCAGCAGTGACTCGGACACTCCTCTCCGAACAGACATTTGCACTGTTCGCTCTGTGCACTTTGACGAGGTGTCACTGCACTCAGCTGCAGACAGAGCAGACGTGGACAGAGGATTTAAAAACGGTCACACTAAAGGCAAGAAGGACAGAAATGGAGAGAGGAGTAAAGAGCCTGTGTTCACTCTGCAGAGTGCTGCGCGCAGGAGTCGCCCTCTGCTGTCACAGGTGTTTGGCCCACAACAGCATGTGGAGGGTAAACACGTCAATGGCCATCAGGTGTCTTCTGGGAATGGACTTAATGGTCTGGACACTGAGCAGGAGTATGAACTCAAAACCGTGAGCATCTCTAAGACCAAACAGTCACTGGGTGAGTGTTTGTGATCAGGTCTGGACGGAGGGAACCTTGATTTAAAAAAATAAAAGTTAGTGTTCAACATTTAAAGATATTTTTCTGCTTCGTTAAAGTATTGATATTAAAGTTGTTTTGTTCTATGTAAAGTTGGGGGAAAAGGGAAGGCATTTGCACTGCATTAATGTGAACTATCTAAGTATCTATGCCAATACTTTACTGCAGGCATCAGTATATCTGGTGGGATCGAGTCAAAGGTTCAGCCTGTGGTGAAGATCGAGAAGATCTTTCCTGGAGGAGCCGCTTCCACCTCTGAAGTACTCAAGGTAAAAGTTATTCACATTTTGACATCTTCATTTATGTGTGTATTTGGTCGCTGGATCTTTAAAGTTCTAACATGTAGCGCTACGCACCATTAGGGGGCGGGCCCCCCACTTTTGGAATTACTCATAGAGGATATTAGTCCTTTTTTTTATTCAACAATATTAATAGAAGTTAGTGGTTGGATGTTTAATTTAACTTCAACAAGATAATCGCCTAGTTTTGGATTTCTGAGGTTAAATGTGCATCCTTGATTAATGTAAAATTGCAAGAATGTATCAACAAAGATAAGAACAGTATATATTTTTTTGTTGAAACTACCTGTAAACACATCTGCTTTTCTCTGTGGTCTTATTGTTGTGCACCTGCTGGCAATTAGATTTGCAGCAAAATGGGTGGAGCTAATTTATCGCTCGTGCTCCTTACTGGTCCAAATCATCTCTGGTGTGAGGCAGTGATGGCAAAATGTTCTCTAATAGTTTTTTGGTGTAATCTACTAAAAATCAAATTCATCAAGCATTAATCCCTGGACTTAATGAATTTTTCTGAACCGTTTCTAACCAAAATTGCAGGCTGGATTTGAGTTGGTGTCCGTGGACGGAGTCACGCTCCGAGGAGTAACCCATCAGCATGCTGTGGACATCATCCGAAAAGCCTTCAGTAATAAGGCCAAAGACCCCATGGTGTTTGTGGTCAAAGTCCCCAAGAGCATTTAAATAAACTGAGAAATTGAATCTCCAAGATTTCAGCAAATGTGCTGATTTTAATTTTACTTTCTTAAAACATTTAAGCCAGGATCTTCTTTTTACATGTCAAAAATGTATTAAGATTATATTTTTTAAAAAGTCTTTTCAGAACTTTAAGTGTGTCTATCCCAGGACCTGACTTGTGGACCAAGCACTGAAAATAGCTCCTTGGTTAGTTTGATGTTTCACCTATAGGCGGCAGACATGAGCTGTTTAAAGTTTCTACTCATTATAACAAATAATAAAACGTGATATGAACCCAGTGTAATAACAGACAATGTCAAAATGTGAACAAGTTCAGAGTGGGAGAAAAAAAATCCAAATTAAAAGTATGCCGAAGGTTTTATTTCTTAAACTATTTGTTTTTTTAACTGTAAACACTGTAAAGAGGATAAAAGGTAAAAAATCAAAGCTTTCACATTTATTACATTTGTCTTTTTTATTCAAAAACATAGGTTTGTTCAATAAATGTACAGAATGAAAATATACATTTAATGTCTTCATACAAATCTTGTGGATTATAAAATCACACTGAACATCCAGAATTAACATCCACACCAACAATCAAAACACAGGCTTTGTTTTTATACTGGAGGAGCAAACCATAATGCGTGCGACATTTGCTTTGGTCTGTTCACAGTGGCTATGTTTGTACTCTGTAGAGGTGTTGACAGACAGACACACACACACACACACACCTCTGGAATGAAACTTAACACTTTAGAATTAATCCCAGGGAGGATTAGAGTTAAATCTGCAGTGATGAAGGAACAAGTGAGTCCACTGTTGTGTAGTAACAGTGATTAGACCGAATAGTCTACGTATTAAACTGATGAAGATCAAACTCTATCCTGGTGCAGGGTGTTCGGAGTTGATCCAAAATTACCCACCATTCAGTGCAGGAATTCCCTTCAGTTGCTGATGTTTTCACACATCTGAGCAACAGTTGGCTAAATATAAAATGTGTCTATTCATTAAAGCTGCAGTTACGTTGCTAAACTTGGGGTAATGTCATTGTTACTCACGTTCACACAGGGCAGGTACATGTATGTAGTAGAATAATAACAATAGAACAATCCACAGTATAAAATGTCATAAAGGTCATGTTTACACCAATAACAGTTGAATCCCACTCTCTACAGACAGAGTGAGACCATGTGAGCTGATATGTGCACAATTAGGCTGTGGATCAGTAGCTTGAGCTGTTACCGTTTCAACTGGAAGGTTGTGGGTTCAATTGCGGACTCTTTTTTGTTAACAAGTAAAGCACTCTTAATGGTCGTCGGAAAAAGAAAGGTGCTTATTAGGAATTTAAATAAGATTAGGTAAAATATTTGTATGATTTTTGTTGACACTGAACTGAACAGACGGCCATGATGTTATTTACACCTAACAAACCTGTGTGCTTCTACATGAAAACATCAATGTACACAATGCTGTAGTTCCAGGGGGCGTGGTCATATTTTCTCATTGCCACATGGATGTGTTTAAACCAACATACTTGACAGCAGCGTTGGCTCTGATTGAAAAACTACAAATAGAATGAGTAATGCAGTGAGTACTACTACATTTGTGGGAGTGGGAGTATACAGGTGGAGTATAGCCCAACCAGCAGGTGGAGTCATTATTAGCACAGAAGACTGGCGGACGTTAAAATGATTCAAACACAACAACTGGTCTACATGGATAAGGAGGACTGGCCGCCTGGTGTCTTGGTTTAGTTATGAACACTAACACAGAGGACTGACATGGTCTGATGAAGACTCACAGACTGAGACTCTTCAGAGAACCAGACCAATATGGCAGAACCAACTTTTTGATTGATTTTCTGCTGCAGATTTGTGTATGTGCTACGGAGACCAAACATGTGGCTTCTCTGTGGCTATTATTGTGATTCTGACAGTAGTGCAAATGAAACAATGATGAGACGGGGGTCAGATTTCTGTGGCGGCGACCTCATCAAAGTTGATCTCATTGCCGCTGCCCTCGTCATCGTCCCTGCTCTCCAGTTCCTGACTGAGGTCCTGCAGCAGCTGCTCCAGCTCCCGGTTCTTGCGATACATCTGCACGTAGTTCTGCTGCAGCTGCTTTTGGTACCGTATTACTTTGTCTTTTTCCTCAGATTTGTGTATGTGCTACGGAGACCAAACATGTGGCTTCTCTGTGGCTATTATTGTGATTCTGACAGTAGTGCAAATGAAACAATGATGAGACGGGGGTCAGATTTCTGTGGCGGCGACCTCATCAAAGTTGATCTCATTGCCGCTGCCCTCGTCATCGTCCCTGCTCTCCAGTTCCTGACTGAGGTCCTGCAGCAGCTGCTCCAGCTCCCGGTTCTTGCGATACATCTGCACGTAGTTCTGCTGCAGCTGTTTTTGGTACCTTATTACTTTGTCTTTTCCCCCCTGCCATATCTTGCGCTCCTCCTCGAAACTTCCCATTTGCTGCTCGGCTCGCTGCCGCTCGAAGTTCAGCTCCGCCCTCATCCTGTCCATCTGAATGGTCATGTTCTGCAAGGGCTCACTGCTGCTCTGGCGCTGCGCCTTCGCCTCGTCACTTTCGTAGCTAAGCAGGTGCTCCTCTGCTTCCTGAAACACCTGACACTGTCTGTTTCCTGAGCTCTGATTGGCCAGAGCGTCTCTGAGATGAGCCAGCTCTCCCTCAAGACGTCCCACCTTTTCTCTGAGCAGCTCCGCCTCACTTTTGCGACGCTGAAGTTCGTTCTCGCAAACCTCTAGCTCCAGAGTTCGTGTGCGATTCGTGCCGTGAGCCTCCTGAAGCAGGACCTGGGTGTTGGTCAAGTCCCCACGAGTTTCTCTTAGCTGACCTCGTAGCGACACAATCTCCCCAACGCGTTGGGCTAACTCTCCCTGCACCTCCTTCAGCTGCTGCTTCAGCAAAGAGATTTCCCCTGACTTCTGACAGACCTGAGTAAAGGACAAAGAAAACTGTTCAAACTGAAGAATTCAGATCTTGATTCATTCATATTTATTCTTAGTCTTAGGGAAACAGGCGGCGCATCTTAGATTATTCCTTCTATCGAAAAAAGAAAGCTCTTATGTACAGTAGGTAAAGCTCATCCAGAGAGTGAACAGAAAACCATTTGCACCGTCCTCTTACTTCTTCTCTGTCAGGAGTGAATGTTTTTTACTCCACACCTTGAACCATCGGCTGTGGTGTTGTTCCGGATTTGGACACTGAAAAACCTGGATGGTCAGGTTTCTGGGCTGATCACTGACTGATTGACAACTGATGTGACAGTCAATGATGAATTAATATCATATCTTGTCATTTTTCAAGTCAAAATGAAAAGAACTTTGTTTGGAGTCCATTCCCCAGGGCAAATGTCTTTCTGCTGTGTCAGAATAAACAATGCCAGGTGTCTGGCAAGAAAACACAAACACAGCTATAAATAGTTGATGCTTTTTTTGTCTGGTTGTTATATTCAAGTCTCAGTAACTGATGTTCACAGTCCATAAAGCTTCACTTATGAATACAGTTCAAAGATGTTTGCATGCTAACAGGTCATGTTTCTCTAACTGGCCACACGTCAAGAACAATAATAATTTAAAAATATCTTCATCATAAACGTCCTGCTACTTACCTCCCATTTAGTCTCCTCCAGTCGTGGTCCCAGCTGGATCTTCTCGTGCTCGTAGGAAGTGCAGCGTTCCTCCAGCTGCTCCCTCTCCTTCAGGAGCTGAGCAAAGTCTTCCTGCAGCTTCTTCTTCTCCTGCTGGAGCTGATAAACCTACAACAATGTCATTGTTTTATATGTATATACGGTATATATATATAATATTTTATAGTTTTTGTTGTGAGGCCTCACCTGCATCTGGAGGACCTGCTGTGCACGCTGGGATTTCTGTGACGCCACCTGCATCCTGGTGGCACAGCTCTGCCTCAGCTCTTCCAGCTCCAGTTCAAAACGTTTCTGTTTCTCCTCGTAGACCTGGATCCGTGAGACAGATCGATAAGGAAATGGAAAATGTCAGGTGACCAATCTTTTTCGTTTCCTGTACTAAATACCCACCTGACAAATTGCAGCTTCATTCTCATCCAGGTTGTCTCTGAGCTGCTGTAGCTCCAGCTCTCTCTCCCTTAGTTTGTCCTCCAGATCTCTCACCACCCCCTCATACCCGTCCACAGAACCGGGGGAGCGTCCACTGGACCCACAGTCTGATAAAGGCTGTCCCCGGCCGTTAAGGGAGCCCGAGCCTGTGCTTTTACTTGAGGATGAACGCCCACTGTCTGAATTATAGTGTGCGTGTGCACTGACAGGTGGAGCACTCTTCATGGCCTCCAGGTGGGCTGCAGAGGCTTCACCTGAGGCCAGGCTGTAGCCAGTGCTGCTGTACGGTGGCAGGCTGGAGAGGGAGTTACGTCCGGAGTCAGACAGAGAACAGGACTGACTGCTGCCTCCAGGGCCACTGTTACGGGCTCCGCTGTACAAGCTGCGTTTTTCAGAGCAGGAGGGCGAGACTCCTGTGTGGGTAGGGCTGAGCAGGTTCAGGTTGGTTTGACTCTCAGGTACGTTGGCAGAATTGCGAGGAGAGAGGTACTGCATAGACGTGCGGTTTTTTGGAATGACAGGTTTGAAGGCTGTGGGTCGCAGCACTGTTTTCTCTATGTTCTAGGAGAGACAGAGATAATGAGCTTCAGGTGACCTTCAGTTTAAGGCATTTTATTGTATAATAAAATGTTTTCATTATATATTATACTCTCTTGAAGGAAAGGAACACCAACAAATTGACTTTGCATTCATAACAAACATTTCTGAATGATTCAAAAACACACCTTCTCAAGTTTTCCTGACACAGGGATCAGTTTTGGAGGAGGACCCCCAAGATTCCCTTTCAACTCCAACCCCTCCTTGGTGTCATCTGCGTCACTGTGTGGACTGGCGGCTGCTGCCAGATTCTCATTCCAGTCTCCGATATAGTTCTCGTTCAGATAGGTGTAGTTCCCGTTCTCCTTCTCCAACCCCCTAATGAACGCTGTGGAGCTTTGTTTCTTGATCGGCGAGATGTTCTGCAGGAAGTGATGCTGGGGCGAATCGCTGTCAAGGCGTGAGGCCCCTGGAGTGGGGCGCCAGCCAGAGCGGTGGTCCTGGTAGGGGCCCGGTCGGGTTGCTATGAGGCTGCTGACAGAGCCCATAGGTTCCAGGGTAGGGTGTGAAAGAGGAGCAACGTTGGGGGGTGAAGGGCCAGAGTGGTGTCTTCTACGGGCTCCTCCAGTGAGGCCTGAGCCATGGGACTCAGCAGATATGGGCAGAGCCTGAACCAGGGCCATTGTGACAGATCAGAGGGGCCACACGCTCTGACAGAGGAAAACAGTTTTTATTATTATTTTTTACACTCTTAACAAAACACCATGTTAATGTCACGTAGGATCTGTGTTATAGTCTCTAGTGTGAGTTTTGATCCTAGTCATGTTACAGCAACTCTGGGCTCTAGTTCATCTCTATGGTTGTACATGAACGCCTCTGCCTTGAAATAAACACTAAAATCCCACTGATATACAGAGGAATGTAGCATACAAATCTCCCAGGAGAACAAGTCAGCCCACACACACACACACTAGCAGAACCAGAACGCACCATTCATTAAAACTATTCAAGCAGCACAAACATGAGACGGTAGGAGGGAAAAAAGGGATTTTTTTTTTCCATTTCACATTGAGTTTTTAAACAACTTCTAACATGATGGTGTTCTACAAGTACAACTATAGTCTGTACACATCTGATCAGCCCTGGGCAAGGACAGAGGTTCATATCTGAAGAAGGAAAAAATGATCCTGGATGTTAAGTGCATACAATGCTACACAGAAATAAAGGAAAGACAAAAAATACAAATTCAACACATTTACATTCAGGGGGGTGAAAGACACAATGACTGGCACACACAGTACAAACGATGTAATCAGCAGTTGGTCTGTAGTCAGTGTTGTGTGGAGAACAATGGTTAACAGAACTGTGAGGATGAAGTCATGGTGCACCAACAGCACCGACAACAGCAGAGACAGCTGTGCTTTAAAAACAGAGTCTGACGATACTCCACTGAGGATGGGATGGGTTTATGTATAAAAGTGAGTTTCAAAATTGTCCCGGAGTAAAGAAATTACAATTGTGGTGTTTCACATAAAGTCTGCAGTGTTTAATTGGTTTTTGACCTGGTTTATTTAAATGAACTGTAATGGAGGAAATAGTGGGTCATCATGATGTAATTCTCAAATTGTAAATGTACTAAAATGTACTTAATGTGAACAGCTGATTATCAAAAATGCATTAAGATTTAATGTGATGAATGGTCTACATAGACCTGCTAATGTGGTGACAGTAGGACTGACGGCAGCAGCGCCGGCCAGACTTGTTCTCTAGCCTCCATGTGCCAGGACAGAACGAAGCCAAGTCGTTTTTTGTAATCTGCCAAGTTTACTGGGAGCCTTCAAGGGCTAGGGCTACGGCAGTGATTTAACTGTGATTACTACACTTAAATTAGCACGTTCACACTCTGACTGAGGCTCTGTGCAAGGCCTTACTGGACATTCTGGACACAGAATGTCAATGTCACACAATGTTATCTAAAAAAGTCAAGTGTCAAGTACTCATAACTAACACATACTCTTCCTTAATACACACATGACATTTGGCAAGAATGTGTCGTAATCACTAGGAAGAAAGCAATGAAAGAATAAAGATATAACAAACTTCCTGACCAAACTGAACAGCAACACATTAAACATTGAATCTGTGCTAATATGTGAGATTTGCTAAAAAATGTCAATTAGTCAGCCGGACTTTAAATACCAGGTAACATCGTAACAAGTCCAACTGTTCCTCGGACAGTAAAGACATCACTAGCTGTACTATAACCAGCTGGTTATAGTGCCTGGTCAGTCCAGGTGCCAGAGGTGGTAACAAAACAAATGTGTTATTTATAGCTTTGGATGGAAAAACAAATGAGGTCCAGTACTGACAGTGAACAAGTTCACAGGTGTTAAGTTGATTGGTTGAAGCCTCTCGGGTTGAAACTACAAACAATTATCAATATCACATTTCCACAAACTGAGGTGAGACCTGCATGTGTTTTGGTGAATTTAAAAGAGCCAATTACCCTGGAGGATTCACATTACAAACACAAAAAACAGCAAAACAAAAACACAGTAAAAGACTTGTTTGTTAGGTATCACAACAATTAAGTTATTGTAACAGCTGCTAGAAAAAAATCAGAATAATTTATTTGACATTTCAATTTTTTAAGGTTCCTTCAATAACATTATAGAACCTCCTAAACATTGTTGTCTTATGTCTAAATCAGAGTCTTGTCACTGACTAAGCCATGCAATAAGTGAACTACAAAGAGCAGGGGTTTTAAAGGGTTTTAAAGCCTCTGTCATGTGCATGAGTTCTGGTCCTGCCTTTGTTGTCATAGTGATTTGGACTCTGTGGTAAGTAAAGAAAGGAACAACAGCGGCGGTGATCACAGGAAGGCCAGGAAAGCCAGCAAATGCTTCTTAGCATATTAAAGCTCTCACTAATTCTTTAGTGGCGAAGAGTCAAAGGCTGGAGCATTATAACAAAAGTAAAGATTAGGGTAAACCTATGAAATAAAAATACAATATTAATATCTAGAAATATCTTTCCAAAATGTAACAAATACTTAAAATATGTACCTGCTTAACATGAACAAATTCAGACCCATATGCCATACAAATTACATTTTGTTAGTGTTTAATAACAGTGCAAAAATCAGCATCTGTGATGGTAGAGGAGAACCGTCAGCTCTGTGAGGGAACTGTTGATGATGCAGAGGCTAACATTCATTTGTTAGAAGTACATTTCTTCCGCTCAGCAGTGCCCTGCAGCACTGCAACGTCACACAAACCTGCTTTGAGACAAACTGAAAGGAGCGTACACTAAAGCCTTTTTTTGTCAGTGCCTCACCATAAACACACCTCCACGGCCACACAGGCCTAAAAATATAAATATGGAGGAGGAACTGTAAAGTAACGCAGTGTTCCACTGGCCCTGACCTGAGAGCAAGGCCACCTCTGAGTCAAAGACAGTGTTCAAAGAGAGAAAGAGGGTTGCTAAATAAATGTCATGGAGAGTTAGGAGAGTTGAGAAAACCCCTCCTCTATGCTACATCTCTCTGCGGCCAAACTTCTGAGTCCTGCTCTCCCTCCACCCACCCTCCATCTTCTTACCCCCACATCCCTCTTTAAAGTGGAGCACAGACAGAAAGTGTGACGATGCTATTTTGGTTTTGTAGACAACCTACCTTTCTACGGGCAGACCTCTCGCAGACCTTACTGACACCACAGTCACTGTGTCAAATACTCACAAATACTTCACTGTCATCCTCCTAACATGTCTCTGACAAGTACACAATCTGTCATTCCAGGTGTCATTGTTGGACGATTGTCTCATCTCAGCTGCCTGTTGGATAATCTTAACTTAAAGAATTTTTTTACACTACACATGAAGTATTCCTGGTGTGGAATGTTCTCCTCGGGTCTGCCTGCAGGTTTGTTTTAATGATGCATCGAGCGCTGCCAAGGAAAACAGTCACACATATTTTTTGCACACACTTAAACTAAAAGCCTTTGTAGATTTCTCCACAGTTCACATGTGAAGCTCCCACAGTCATTGTAACTGATTGATACTAACCTGGCAGAGAAGGCAGAGAATGCACCATCCCGACTCTCCTATCACCTTCACTGTCAAACTAACAGATTGAACTTCCCTCCTCTACAACGTTCCTTTCCTTTTTGGCTTCTTACCCCACTTTGCTGCCTTCATTGCTGCCCCACTGCACCTCCAGCTCCTCCGTATCATCCAGCCTCGGCTCCTTCAAGGTCTCGGGGTTAATCCGGCACCAACACTAACTATTTCTGTTCTCCTGGACCAACCCTCCTGAGGAAAACTTCTCATACCCAAAAAACCCCCGAAAAAAACTAGAAGCTAAATGCCGCCAATATGAATGGAAGCACAGTCCCCTCCCCTTCTTCTGCTTTCACTCCTTTGTGCCCCCTCTCCTCCCCTCACATCCTCCTCTCAGGCCAGCCTGTGTATGAATGATACACCTCCTCTCTCCTTGCTCTCCTTCTCCTCTGCCATTTCCTTTGACCAAAGAAACTACACTCTGCGAGCTCCTCTGCTGCCTTTTGTCAGACGCTGAAGAGAAGAGAAAGAAGAGGAAAGCAGGATGCCAGGGAGCTGTCAGTTGAAAACCTTTCTGGTTTCTCTGCCCCCTTTTAAGCCGAACAGCAAACAGAAGTCAGAGAGAAAGAAGATATTATCCAGGTGCAATAAAGTATGTCAGATTCATAAACATACAAAACTGTGTTTTTGGAAACCCAATGAGTACAAATGAAACCGTCCACTCCTGTAGTAAATTTTTTTATAAAGAGTTTAACAAAAAGATTTGTTGAGAGTTTTAAAAAGTGCAAAAAGATTATATTTCATCAAATATGATGAGCACAAAGTCAGTCTGAGATGCTTCAAAAGAAGCTACAGGAAGATGCAGACATGCAGAGTTATATACTGCCTTGATTTCATCTAGTGACCCCTTAAGTGCATGTGGTCATTTGATCTATTACTAATAGAAAAAGTATTGATTGATGCAGCGGAGACAGACAGCTCTCATGGTTTATTCTCCTGTGACTTTGGCCGTGTTCAGTCACTAACTGTTTATTAAACCCTCCATCTGGTAACATGAAGCAAAAGACAAAAGCTCTTCTTGCCGATAGAGCTACTTTCAACCCGTGCATCTGGACAGGTCGCCAACAAATGGGGAATAAAAGAAAGAGGAACATTTGAATTTTTCAGTCTGATGATCAGCTGCGCAGGTTAGGAAAGTGGGGTAAAGTGAAGAACTAGAAGTAGGCTATGCCCTGCCACTGCTCTACACACACAAACACAGATCTGTCTCCTCCTTCCTTCTTCTCCTCCATACTCCCACTCGCCCTGCTCCTATAATTAGGTCACAATGAAATGGACCAAGTTTGTCCTTCAGGTGGGACTGCAGAGGGAGTTCAAGGTCTTTCTTGGCCACGTCTTGATGAAAGGGGGTCTGGAAAACAAGTGCTGCAAAACTCACACGGCTGCGGCCAAAGCCGAAGAAACAACTCTCAATTCACGACTGTACGACAAACGCCATTAATCAGCTGCTCCAAGGCCACCGCTGCTGGGACAGAGACGCAGCCAACTAATCACCACTGCTAAAGCCACCATTAACACGATGTGCCTATGTGCCAGAGAGTGAACCACATGGGTGACATGAGTCAGTGCCTTTTGAGGGAGTTGATTTACGGTAGAATGAAAGGGTTAAAAACAAACAAAAAGCCCTCACTGTGCATGTGTGTTAATGTATGTGGTGTGTGTGTGTGTGTGTGGGGGGGGGGGGCAAGTCTGACACTTGAGTGTTGGTTTGAGATTTGAGATGCCAGATGGCCAGGCCAACCACCGAACATTAATTTCAGTCAGTCTTGACCCGGTCTTGGTACAAAAGAAAAAAAAAACTGTTGTTAAAATGTGAGTAAATTTCTGAAATGAGGTTTTAAACTTAATGTCTTTGGTTTATGCTTTTGTATCATACAGAGAAAAACATCTAGGAGTACCATCTGTGGGACCATTTCAAGTCCACTGAAAACTGCTCCTTGGAGGCTGCAACTCAAGTTTACCTGCAATATACAGTGGACTCACAGCAGGTGCTGCTGCTGCTGCTGCTGCTGCTGCTGCTGCTGCTGCTTTGTTGCACTCCTGCTCCCTTCCACTTTTCTCATAACAACAGCGGTCTTCTGGGAGCAGGAATCAACAGAAAACTTGGCCATTCTTCAGTGTTTCTCTGCTGACTCAGCAGAGGGACATCAGTCCCACTGGACACTGCTGCTAAAACTGGTCTTGACCATCCTGTCTTTTGGACCTCCAACTCTAAATTAATCCACCACGGCACAAAGCAATCACACAACAATGTTCTGGTGGGTTTGTGTGTGTGTGTGTGTATAAAAAGAAAGAGGGGCTCAGTCCACAGAGAAAGTCCTGTCATAAATCCACAGAAACAAGCTCGTTCCTCTACTGCTGGCAGAGACGCCACAGACAGGCTCTGATTTATTAGACTACATGCCAAAGAGATTAGGGTTTCAACAAACAACAAAACCTTATCCATGATGAAAATCAGTTGCTAACTGCCATGCTACAATGACGTGTTAACCTGCACGAAAAAAGAAACAAAGACTGCTATGTGGGTGGCATGTAGTAGCCACTTCCTTACCCTAATAAACACCAAACCCAAATGGCTCTGGAGAATAAAAACTGGCTGGTGACAAACAGCTGAAGCTACTGTTACTAAATCCACTCACCTGTCAATGACGCCCTGATTTAGCTGTTGAAGGTCTCAGAAAGCATGAGGCGCAGACATCCCAGGAGCTCACACTGGTGAGTGGCTCTTCATGCTCTTTTCCTCTGCCTCCTAACTCCCAGACTAAATGGGATACAGAGAGAAAAAATTGCATCAGGTTGTTGAATCAGCAAGAAGAGATACACAGCAAGACTACTTCCAGCTGTAGAGAGATGGAAAACCTGAAATGTGACAAGTGTGTTTGTTGAAGTCAGCGAGAAAGAGGAAAATCTGAGTCATGATGGCAAAAAAGCTGCACATGGAAGGAGGCTGAGACGGAGAGGGGGAATTTCCATGTCAACAAGAGTGAAGGCTCAACACAGAACTAGCACCAAAGTCATGGCAGAACAATGCCGCATGTCAAATTAACACATGACTTCCTTTGTTAGTGAGACACCACTAATTATAAGTGTTTTCCCAACATTTTTTTGTCAAATATAAACTGTGGGAAGAAAATTAAAGAGTGTTTTGGACTGAACTCTGTGTGAGATGGCAAAAAATGAGACACACAGAGCCACTCTGTCCATCTGCTACTGATTAAACCAAGGCATTTCAGGTAAAACAATATTTAGTTAAGAATAACAGGAACATGAGAAACAGATGAACTTAACCAGTCCTATAGTGTAGGTATGTGGAGCCTCACTTTCCTCATCGTCTGTAAGATTACTGCTACCAATGTCCAACACAACACTATACGATTCACAACCAAAGCAAACTTGGAAAATTTGTATTGATTTTAGTTTAATATAGTGTAAGGTATTGTTTAGCAGCAATTCTAATCATTCTAATCATTCTAGCTCTATCAAGAAAATGTTGGTTTTCTTTGCAGGCAGGAACATAAACATCCCAACAAACTTGAGAAAAAAAAGCTCGAGAAAAAATTGTTTTTCATTTCTCACAAATTAGGGTTAGAGCAAAGACGTTCATTAAAACATGTCAAGTCTCAACCACAGTAATGACAAACACCATTAAGAAACACAAACATACAGAGCACAGAGCAAAAGCTGAAAAAGAAGATGTAAAATAGTAGTGCTCGTGTATGTGAACACCCATAGGTTCAAAAATATTGCATCAAACATTCAGCGTTAAAGATGGGGGCTAAGAATTGTGTCCTCATCTGCAGTGACAGTGTTGATGATAAGCTCCTCAGTCTACAAGACAGACCTTACTGTGTGTTTTGTTTAACGAACAGGAACTGGGATGTTTGCTGTGTTCAACGTTACCAACTGCCTGTAGAGCAACAGTAACAGGACAGGCTTAGCTAAAGACCCCCCCCCCCCAACCCCCTCACAGCTCTCCATCTGTGCCTACATTTCCACCACCCCTTTGAAGAAAAATAACAAGGCCGGGGTTTCCAAAAACCCCCCCCCCCCCCCAACCCCCTCACAGCTCTCCATCTGTGCCTTATTCGCTGCATTACTACACCAGTGACAGAGGGAAGTGTTGGGAGACTGTGGCGTTCTTACATGTAATGTTACTCAATCCAGATTATTCTGAGGCAGCTGACTGACGTCATGCTGAGACAGGACCATTCCACAGTCCACTGTGGAACTAAGGGTCTGTTCAAGATGCTGCTGCTACTCGACCTACGAATCACAAACAGGTGTTCAGTTAAGAAAACTGCTCCTCTCATCTGCCACTGTGACGGGGGGCAACAGGAAGAGAAGCATCTAATCTCTTATTCATCAGCCAGAGGCACCTTTGTTTCTAATGTTAACTGACTCACATACATCGGATCAGGATCGACAAGAGTATTGTTGTTCATCAAAAAATAAAATATTTTCTGGAACTGGTAGAACTATTTTTAAATAAGGTTTTCTTTATTTTATTTTATAATTTTCTTTTAATTACTGTTTATGTCCCAACTCCTCCTTAAAGATGTCAAGCCTTTTGGGATCTTGTTATGATCTTGTTACAGTCTCATGTTCTGCAGTTTAGAACATATTTTTCTGCCTTCTACAAATGACAAATGTTGGTTTACTTACAATAGCTGATTAAAATGAATTCCCTAGAAACTCACATATATCTAAAAACAACCAAAACACAACATATACAATATAACAGAGTTTTGACATTAGATGTTTATCCAGGGGTGGAATATTTTACTACAGTATCTTCCCGGGCCAATCAAAATATATCAAATAACAGCATTAGTCTATGCAATTTTGCACACTACCAGGAGCCAATGGCATGCAGTACATTTATGATTTAAGTATGTATGCAGTGGTCAAGAGGTTACATTAAGCAGGGTGGAGTGTGGTAAATAAATCAGGATATCTTCAAGACGGGGTTGAGTAATAGAGAAGAAGTAATGTGGATAAATGGAGTTTTGTATTTACCAGGATATCAGGTGTATACACACACACACAGCAGCACATGAACATACACTGAGTAAACACACACAGGCAGGTGCAGCAGAAGGAACAGGGTGGCGTCCTGTCTAAACACTGCCATCCCAGAACGATTAGACTAATGTTGTACTCAGTGCGGAAGGTTCCAGCAAAGTTCATACCCAGTGTGGCACAGCAGGAAAAACACACCCTGAACAAAGCCAATTGTTAAAAATAAAAAAATAAATAAATAAGGGTTAAGGGTAAGGAAGAAGCAGTGAAACCTTACCACCAGCACACATTTTTAATGTACTGTAATGATAACAAGATGTCTCTTTACTTTACTACAATGTGTTTTCACAAGACAAATGACTACATCCATACAGCTGGAGTCAACAAAACAACAGCATAATACAAAAAGACAGATGGAATTTCTGTGCTTGTTCATGATGAAATAATGCAGCTATTTAATGAAACCACAAATGGTTTGCTTCGTTTGGACAGAAAGGAGACGATCTGCCAGAAACCAAGTGCAGTTACTCTAACACTGCCAACAACAAAAATCAAAACAAAACTGTGAACTCTCCCAGACATCAACATTTAACATAATTCACCCCAAACCTCAAATATCCTCCCTCATTCCGGAAATACTCTGGGAAAACACCATCCCTTTCTACAGTTTAAATATGTGAACCCACAATTACACATATGTTCTTTGACCACTTAAGTAATAGAACTATCCATATTCTAAGTTCAAATCTCTCCACATCTCATTCTTCCATGATACAGTGATTACTGTCAGAGACACACTGGAGCTTCGGACATACAGGAGCTACAACACACCTCTGGCCACTAGGCCAGAAGCTGCACCGAACTGAAACTGAAATAGGACAACTTTATTATCTGTGTTGTCTTAAACTTCTCTTTTTATAGGTGAGCACAATTATTGTATTTATGATATGAAATAAAGCTTTAAAAACACATTTCTATTTTTACAAATGAACATTTGTGTTTTGTAAAAGTGAATATAATAGTATTTTAAATGAGAGAAATTAGAATACATTGAATTAATAATGTAGAGATGGATGTATGGATCCTGGATCCCAGTACAGAGGCAGATCTAAAGGCTCTCCACCTTTTCACCTCACATCCATTTCTCCACTTCCTGTGTAAGCTCTTATGCAACATTGTGACGTAGCTACTGCTGGTCTTTTCATCCCACCACCCACATCTCATCTGATCTGAACCTTCATTCCACCTACATCCTCTTTACCTCTGCATCACCACCACTCCCCTGTATACTTCTGCGTATAGACTGGTTTGTACACACGACTTATTGTTTTGGATCGTAAAATATTTTTAGTTTTTAATCAATCACATGGTTTATCATCCATCCATTAACACCAGTTGCGCTGTTTACAAAAATTAAAAACTCAGCAGCCGCTCATCAAATCCATCATTTATGTGCTTTTCATTTAGCTTTTTTATGGATGCAATGTATAGAACGGGGTTCCTTAGAACTGTTTTGAAAACCATGTCACCCCCTGGTAGTCCAGGGGGTCAGAAGTCAACAGAGAGCAAATCTAATGTTGGATGCATATCAACATATTACAATTAAATCACATCAACTTTTTCCCTTTTTTTGAATACATGAGCCACACCACAGTCAGCGACTGAGGTGATTAATAGCGGTGACACAACAAAAGAGTTGGTGAGTGGGATATGAGTGCAGCTGAGGCAGGAGAAAAGAGCATGACAACAAAAATGTGATGGGGAGAGAGCTGTACATCAGCACATGTGGACCTCCCTGCAGCAGCTGTGACTATAATGGAAACACTAATCACCACAGCCAATCAAAGCCGAGCTCATGGGAAGAAGGTAGCAGGTTTTTCACACATTCATTTTGGGATTGTAATCATCCACAAGTGACATGGAACGATGACCTGTTGCTTAAAATATATCCTTGACGCAAACGTCAACAGAGGAACAAGACAAAAAAAACAAAGCTGTGTCTACATCTTTCAAAAATCTAAAGTATGTCTATGTAGGTTAGGTTCTAGTCATCCAGGTCACTGAAAACAGCAGTGTTTGATCCAAAAGAAGCATCATGGATGAGAGGTGAACGCCTTCAAGAAACCCAGACAGTTTCTCTCTTCTTTAGCTGCTTCAGAACTGACATATGAATACATGCAGTATGTTCCCGCCCTTTGTGCTGTGATTCATTTTTGCACTTAAAAATACAAATGTTAAGAGTTCTCTGCAAGTCAACAAGATTATTGTTGTTTAAGTGTGCACATTAGAGATGAAGTAAAAGGTCAACAAAGGCCAACAAGCAAAACAGCTTAGCTTTGAGTGCTTCAGAAATAGTGGGAGAGCTCCAGCCACCCACCTCGGTGCTTCTTAGTCACCACGTGATTTTAATGAAAGGGACTTTGAGGCAAACGGAACAAAGACCAGGGACTCTTTCTTTCAAAGTCAGGTCCTAACATTTAGGTTTGGGGATTTTCTTTATGTAAGGTGACATTTCTGGGGAAATTCCTATTAGTTCTTGTCATGTTAAAAGGTATTTTGTTTAATTAACCTTTAATTACCAGAAGTATTATTTATTTATTTATGATATTTTGATCACCTTTCATGAGGTAAGGTTAGCATCCTCATGCTGTTATTCCCAGCTGGATGGTATTTAGTTTGCCACTGTTTCCCTTTATCTTTAATTTATGTAATGACAAAAGCAAACAAAGCCAGTCAAAGTCAAATAACTTCTGGGAAAAAACCAACAACGTGACCTACCATTTAGAACGCCAAGACCGGTACCATGGTCAATTTCCATTGAGATACGGTCATTAGCCAAATCTGAAATGATGAAAAATTACAGCTTTGGTGGTGAAAGGCTATTACAGACACTGTGGTCTCAGGCTGAGAGGCACACTGCACACACAGCTTCAGGTAAACTAGAAAAATGGTTACATTTAGACAGAGAGACACCTGATGTGTTCATATGCTCCAGCAGAATGTGGTAATGTACTGTAAAGCAAAATTTGTTTTCTTCATTTACTGGTTTGAGAACCAATCTACGGCTGTAGAGTGTTCAGCTTCCATAGTTTGTGTTGGTATTTCAATTCTCACTCTTGCCACAGCTTTTTGTTTTAAAAAACAAATCTCTCGCTCTTATTTAGGAGAGGGCGGAAAAGCGGCCCAAGCCAGCCGTGAATGTTAGCTGTGTTTTGTCAACATATTGCATGTGTGGTGTGTAACCTCACTGTGTTTTTTATGTCGTGTTGTGCCACTACAGCAGATCCTTAACAGCCCACATATTTCCAGCTACTACAGGAAATCCCATATACAGATACAAATCCACGTACAGCAACTATTGTTCCAGCAGGCAGACAAACTTTTATATAGAAAGAAAAATACAAAATTTAAAATCTGATCTTTTTTCACTAATATAAAAGAGGCTGAACGCATGTAAGACTGTTGACTCACTCAGCATATCAACACCAAACACCAAACAATCTACCGTGTGTTCAGGAAAATGTGCATCGTCACTGCTTACAGTCGACATCCAGCAAAACACACGAGTACATTCTACACTGTGACATGAACCACGACAAAGAAGCCACATAACCCTAATCAGTGCTTCGTTTGACACAATTAGCCCTGGGAAAAACTAAACACAGCAGAGTCTTCACGTTGCCTTACAGTTGAACACTCCTCAGTCTGTTCCCATTGTTGTCCTGTCTTCTAAGGTTTCTCTCCTCTAGCTGTGCTCCAACTGTTGCATGTAAAGGCTGCAGAAGGGTTTGACCTTGGGTTGAAACAGCTTAAGGACATCTTTCACAGTGGCGTAACAAAGAAAGCAGTCGTTATTGACACAGGGCAACCAGAAAACCATAAAGAAGATAAATATCACAAACCCACCAACACTTCTCTCACTAATTTTTTCCCTCAAGGCTTTTCCAACCGTCCACATATTTTTCCTGAGGTCTGTCTGTTTCTCGCTCCCTCTAACTACGACTAGTACTGCACCTCAATCATCACGTACTGTAATGCTGCTTTCACAGGGAACATTGTATTTACAATGGTAATAACAGTGCACAATGTCTCTACATAGGCATAAGAAATTCAAGAGTACAGAGTAATTCGATGTATATTTAGAGTTTCTTCAGCTCCAAAAGCCAGAGATTTTGAAGAGTTATGTTTCTGGCAATCGAAGTATGAATGAATATTATTAGAAGATAAATTGTTGAAAAAAAATATTTTAATTTAGAACCTGATTAAAATTAAAATTAAAAAAAGCCGTTATTTTTGGAACAAGGATCAGACAGGATTATAATAGCCTAGAACCCTCATTTTGAAGAGGAATTAATATGTGATGTAATGTGCAGTGGCCACATTTAGAACTTCACACTGATGCCAACACCCTGATATGATGACAAAGCTGTTTCTCTGAGGGGGGAAGCTTGCCATGTGCTAATAAAGAAATCTCCTGAGAACTGTTGAGTGCTGATCACCTCTGTCCTCCCACTGCCAGGCCTCCACAGCCCAGGCCTCCCACTCTGCTGAGGTTAGCACTTGACCTCTGCAGATGTGTTCAGGCCAAGAACCCCTTACTGTAACATCCTGTAGAGCTAGGAGCTAAAGAGAGACAATCCATTGTTTGGTTTGTTTATTCTTTTCTTGCCATTGTATTTTACTATTTAAAGTATTAATTTCTGGTGAGACCGTTCTTACAAAATAAACTGCTTTTTACTGTAGTAAATAAACATAGGACTTTTTGCCTCAGAAAACAAAACATAACAAAGGCACTATTTACATTTGATGACATCTAAAGATGTGAAACTAATTTATATTGGAGGGGGTCCCATAAATGAACCAGACAACAGAATAATACTGTAGAAAAGCCAGCGTGTCGA